ATTTTTTCTTCATATTTAAAAAGTAGACAATTAAATTGGTGATGAAGGTGCATCAGGCTTAGGTTCTGCTTTAGCAAATTGCATTAATCTCTCAAATTTGACACTTAATCTTAGTAAAAACAGTTTATTTGTTTTGGATTGTGATATTTTTAATTATAAAAACTAATTAAAAACAAGAAAGCTCTTTTTTATTTTTCTTTTTATTGTGCTTGCTTTTTTTTTGTTCATTTTTTGTTAATTTAACTCATCACTTTATTTTCAACTTTTGCTTTTATTCTTAATTAATCTATCTTATTATTTCATATTTTTTCTTCATTTTTTCCTTCTAATTAACTATTTAATGATATATTTTTTCTTCAATATTTAAAAAGTCTGAATTAAATTGGTGATGAAGGTGCATCAGGCTTAGGTTCTGCTTTAGCAAATTGCATTAATCTCTCAAATTTGACACTTGACCTTGAGTAAAAACAGTTTATTTGTTTTGGATTGTGATATTTTTAATTATAAAAACTAATTAAAAACAAGAAAGCTCTTTTTTATTTTTCTTTTTATTGTGCTTGCTTTTTTTTTGTTCTTTTTTTGTTAATTTAACTCATCACTTTATTTTCAAATTTTGCTTTTATTCTTAATTAATCTATCTTATTATTTCATATTTTTACTTCATTTTTTCCTTCTAATTAACTATTTAATGATATATTTTTTCTTCAATATTTAAAAAGATACAATTATATTGGTGCAAAGGGTGCATCAGGCTTAGGTTCTGCTTTAGCAAATTGCATTAATCTCTCAAATTTGACACTTAATCTTAGGTAAAAACAGTTTATTTGTTTTGGATTGTGATATTTTTAATTTTAAAAACTAATTAAAAACAAGAAAGCTCTTTTTTATTTTTCTTTTTATTGTGCTTGCTTTTTTTTGTTCGTTTTTTGTTAATTTAACTCATCACTTTATTTTCAACTTTTGCTTTTATTCTTAATTAATCTATCTTATTATTTCATATTTTTACTTCATTTTTTCCTTCTAATTAACTATTTAATGATATATTTTTTCTTCAATATTTAAAAAGAGACAATTAAATTGGTGCAAAGGGTGCATCAGGCTTAGGTTCTGCTTTAGCAAATTGCATTAATCTCTCAAATTTGACACTTAATCTTCTGTAAAAACAGTTTATTTGTTTTGGATTGTGATATTTTTAATTTTAAAAACTAATTAAAAACAAGAAAGCTCTTTTTTATTTTTCTTTTTATTGTGCTTGCTTTTTTTTGTTCATTTTTTGTTAATTTAACTCATCACTTTATTTTCAACTTTTGCTTTTATTCTTAATTAATCTATCATATTATTTCATATTATTTCTTCATTTTTTCCTTCTAATTAACTATTTAATGATATATTTTTTCTTCAATATTTAAAAAGAGACAATTAAATTGGTTATGAAGGTGCATCAGGCTTAGGTTCTGCTTTAGCAAATTGCATTAATCTCTCAAATTTGACACTTGACCTTAGGTAAAAACAGTTTATTTGTTTTGGATTGTGATATTTTAAACTATAAAAATGAATATAAAACAAAAAAGCTCTTTGAATTTTTTTTGATAGCTTTGATTTGATTTATTTTTTTATATTTTTTATTCCACAAATGTATTTTATTTATTAATTAAAGAAATAATTTTTAATTTAAAAGTTTATTCTATTTTGATATTTATTTAAAATTTACACTAATTTATTATAAAATATTTAGCTAATTGAGTTTATTATAATAATACAAAGTAATAATCAAGTGTCTTAAATCAAAAAGATTAGTTGTCTTTTTTCCCTATTGATAAATAACTGGTTAAAAAAGGATGAATAAATAAATATTAAATGTTTGAATAATATTATATATTTAATTATATAATATTTTGAAAAAGTTTATTTAACCTAAAATATAAATAGATAGATAAATTTTATTATTTATTTTATATTTATAAATATTTTCATATTTTTGGAAGGAAATAAATTATTTATAAAAAATAAAATAATTTAAAAATTAAATTTACATCAATTAATTAATTCCTCTTAAGCAAACCCTTGATATGATTAAAAATTTAATAGAAAAACCATAAAGATCGTTATAAATTAAAATTAATTATTAATAACATCAATTAAATTCTATTATAAAATTATTTATTTTTATATAAATAATGTTAAAATGCATCAGCCATTCAAAAAAATAGTGATCTCAATTCACTAAATTTTTGAATGGTATTTAGCTATATTAAATTCAATATTCCAACTTTCGCTAAATAGTTATAATTCTTTTAATGAATTTAGCTTTTTAAATACTTTTATTTAAATTATTAATTTGCTACTGTTTAAATTTTAAGATAAATTCTACGTGAATATAAAAATTAATGATTGTAATAATTGATTAACATTTATATATATAATTTAATGTTATATTATTAGCAAAATAAATTTTAGGCTCGTGATTTCTTATAATTATAAAAAAAACTTTATCTTTCTTTTTAAATTCGAATATAATATTTTTTTTATTTTTTAAAATGCAAACTTAAAAGTAAAATATTTTTTTGGAATTTAGCACTTTATCTTAAAAATATTTATAAAATATTAAAATAGAAAGATAAATAAATAAATATTTTATGAAAGTTTTAATGGTTATCTTCTACATTTTAAAATATCTTTTATTTAAATCTAGAACTTTTAAATAATTTCTATTTTTTTCGAGAATCAATTTATTTTTTTCCAAATTGTCTGCTTGAATCAATATTTTAATTTTTATTTTTATTATCATGAGCAAAATTTTAGATTTGGTTCTTGATCTCTTTAAATAATATCATTATAAATATAATTTTGCAGTATTTTCTAAACATGTTTTAATGAAAATGACTACCTACACATACCATACAAACACTTAAAAATTTAAAAGCTTATTTAAAAAGTTAATTTTTAATAATTAAGCATAATATTAAATAAATTTATGGTTTTGAAATTCAACTGTAACCCTTGATTAGGAAGGCGTAGTTAAATAACAAATTAATTTGATTTTATTTATTCATAGTATATTCACTGATCTCTTAAATTTTATCAAAAATTTGGTTTCATTAAGAACTAGTTTATTAACAAATCTAATAATCAATAAAATAGAATTCTAAACAAATAGAATAAAATGAAACTAAAAAATCTTTATAAATTTATGTTTTAAACATAAAAAATATTTCTTTTGCTTAAATAAATGAAATAATTTCAAAAAAGTAAATTTCTAAGTGTTCTCAGTATTATTAAAGAAGATATCTGCATAATTTAACACCAAAATTTAGGTTCAGTCAATAAAACACCAATCCTGATATCACATTGAAAGATGTAGAGTAGGCTTTTCTTGAGATATGTTGTAAGCTAATCCCTAATCTTACAAAATTTACGAAGACTTAGGAAATGTTTAGATAGGAATGGGATAGTTTGAAAAGGCTAAAAAAAGCTTCTATAGTGCTCTGGAAATAAATCCTTAATCTGCCTACGCATATTGCGGTCTAGGAATTATCTACTCTGAATAAAATATGATCAAAGAGTCTGAATAATACTTCTAAAAGTCTTTAGAGCTCAATCCTAAATCAGCTGTCACACTTTGTAATTTAGGAATTCTTTTTGATAAATGCGGAACAATCGATCAGAGAATATTTTATTATTAGTAAGCAATAGAAAGCGATCGAAGTATTGATTAATCATATAATGGACTTGGACTTGCTTATCTTGATAAATAAATGCATGAAAATGCAAAATAGCTATTTTAAAAGTGTCTAGAAGTAAATCCTTAAAACTTTAACGCATATTTGAATTTAGCAACTATATTCAGAATTGAAAGCAATTATTAAGAGAGTATAGTTTGCTTAGAGAGATGCTTAAAAATTGATCGTTAAAGTGATAAGACTTTTAGCATTTATTATTATTTAGCAGATGCTTATTAATAATTAGGTATGATGGAAGATGCCATAGAATATTTAAAGAAGACCATTGAAATTGAACCATAATAGTATTTCCTACATGATAAAATAGGTTATATTTACGAGAAAATGGGTAATTTAGAAGAATCATAAAAACATTTAGAAACTTCTTTGAAAATAAATCCTGAATCAGCTGGAACTTTAGCTAATTTAGGTTTCATAAATATTAAATTAGGAAATTATTAAGAAGCTTATTAATAATTAGAATATGCTCTAAAACTGGATCCTGGTGTCTTATTTTGAGATAAACTCTGAAAATGATAATTTAAATGCTTTGGAACACTTAGGAATTATATCTTTATTTGAAACAAATAATCTTTAAAGACAAGAGTAAATAAATAAAAAAATTATATATAAATTAAAAATTATATAATGATACTTTAGCCACTTACTTTTAATTAATAGCTTAATTATTTTTAAAATAAATTAGATTTTTTTGTTGTTTATTTTAACAATAATTTAACTTTTTTTTCATTTAACCTAATTTATTTATTTTCTTTATATATTAAAAGCGCATTTGTTAGATAAGGCAAGGGATCTATATGAAAAGTTACTTAAATTAGAACCTAATAGTGTAACAATTTTACTTAATTTAGGTGGCTGTTACTATAAATTGGGATAGTTTGAATAAGCAATAAAATATAACTAAAATATTTTATCAATTGATCCAAAGAATTATTTGGCTAACTTCAATTAAGGAATAATTTACTATTAAAAAGGTATGACTGAAAATGCTATTAAATACTTTCAGAAATCTTTTTAGTCAAAATCTAAATATGGTGACGCTATTTACAACTTAGGAATCATTCATGGCTAAAATGGAAACTTATAAGAAGCAGAGTACTTTAATAAGTTGGCTCTATAAACAAATAATGATCTTGCTAAGGTTTATTAATTGCTTAATATCCCAGAATCAGACATTAAAATAACCTCAGAAATAAAAGATATATTTGAAAAAGTATTGAATGCAAAAATTGAGCAAGGAGTTGACTTTTATATTTTAGCTTTTGTTTAAAATTTGTTAGGTTACAAAGGATAAGCATTATATAATTGTGAGATCGCTGTAAAATTAAATGAAATACTAGCCGACGCATTTTAACTCAAAGGATAAATACTAAAATAATAAGGCTAATAAAAAGAAGCCATTAAATGCTTTGATAAATTTCTTGAATTAAAACCATATTCAACATTCCCTAACTAAAAAATGCGAAGAGTAGTAATTAATATTTTTTTTATTTTAAAAACAAAATATTATTTATTTATTAATTTTACAAAAGAAACATCTAATTTAATGTTTTATTTATTTATGTTGTGTTATTGCATAATTAATAAGTTTTCTTATCTAAAAATAAAATATATTAATTAATTAATACCTTAATTCTTTTTATTTTCATTTTTAACTAATTATCTTGATTAAATTTATATTAAAATATTAATATATTTTTTTTTAATTCTTTAAGTATCATATTTTTTTAAATAAATGAATAAATATTATTGAAAAAATATTATTTTTTTTTGGAAAATTTATACGAACTTGTAAATTTTTTTTTAAGAAAACAGGTTTTCTTTTAATTTAGAAAAATTTTATTTGGAATTTAACGAAAATAAATAAATAAATTTAAAATTGACAACATTGTTGAACAAACAAACAAAGAAACAAACAACAAATTATTTATTTGTAAATAAAATATTATAAATTTAAATTTTAAAGGTAAGATTTTTTAATGAAACCTTTATACATTTATAAAAATATAAAAAAACATATATAAAATAATTAAAGTTGTAGTAATTTAAAATTATATTTTTAAATAATTAATTTATTTATTAGTTTGCTTTTTTGTTTGATTGTTTTTTTGTTTGTGTTTTTTTGATGTTTTTTTTGTTTTTTACTTTTGTATTATAAGTTGTAATTCAATTAGTAACAATTTCTAGTTTGTCATAAATTGCATCACATTATGGACATTTTATATTTTATTATCCAGCTTTTGATTGAAGATAAGATGTTATGCAATAATAGCAGAAAATGTGCTTACAATTGTTTATTTATCTAGGCATAGTCATTTAAGAGTCTTCACATACTCCACATTTAACATCTGCTATGTCTTATGAGGCATCGTTTGAGATAGAACCTAGAAATGTGGTAAACATGAAGAGATTGCTCACCATTTTAAACAAACGCATGTTATTTGCTAAAGGAAGAGCAAATTTAACAAAATCTGAAATAATTCCCCATATAATTGTTCTGTTAATTAGCTCAAAATCTAAATATCTGACAACTTAAGAATTTATATAGCCCATTTATATGCCACATATTCTTTCTTCAATCGATCTATACTTTCCATTAATCAAAAAGCTAACAAAATTAGCTAAATTTAAAACTTTATATATTTTTTCGCCAACATCTAATATTTTTTTGAGTATTTTATAAAATTTGCTTTCTTCTTGATCATTGTTGCCATTGTTAGATATATTTCTCAGAGTAATTAAATTATGAAGTTTGTTAATTGCATAAGTGCCGACTACTTTAACTAAGAAAAAAATAATTTTTCTCTTATTAGACAAGTTTCCGTTTTCAAGCAAATCACTTGCTGTATATTTAACGTTTTATAGTTAGTTTCCTGGTAAATTGTTATTTTTATTCACAGTTTCTCTAAAATAAATGAAATCAACTATTAAATTGAATTCTGGAATGTATTTATTAACTGTCTATGGATTAAAGTATTGAAACGCTTTTACTAACCCATCTTTAAGAAGGTTTGAACATTCTTAATCTATTTTCAAAGCTTCGAGCTGATTTATTCTTTCTGTTTGGTACTCCTGCATCATTCTCTTTAACCTAAAATTTCTTTTTTTATTAAGCCTAGCAATTATTTGCAAAAATTATATTTATGAGTAGAAATAATTAATAACTATTCAAATTATGACAAATCAAATTTTATCATTCTATCTAAGAATCCTAAAACCCTTCAATTACATCATCAAAAATCAATTAAAGATACTCAAATAAATCACTAATATTTTAAATTCAATATCATCGTAAATCCATTAACCAACTAAGACACAAAAATTAGAAATTCTAGAAAAATTCCAACAAATTAATTAATTAATGCTGCTTTCAATATTAAAACAAATCTAAAATATTTATAGTAAAATTAATTCATACATTGAATGAAATTTATTTAAATTCTAAGAATGAATAGATTTTAGTTTAATTTCATTTATTTTTATAATTAGATTGATTTTCTGTCAATTTTTTAACTCTACTTTTTTATTATGAAACTCTTTGATATTTTTATAACAAATCATAAATATTATTTAAAAATATAAACAAATAAATTAAACCAAATAAAATAATGAAATAAATTTAAAATATGGAATTATCATTCGTATATTTAACAAATAAAAGACAGCAGCTTTCAATATTATTTAAAATTAATTAGTTTTTTGAGAGAAATTTATTTGATTTTTAGTCATTAATAGATTTTAATTATATTTGATATTTTTATTTCATTCATTAATAGATTATGTATGTTTACTCAATTAACCTTTTGATTCTTTAGCTCTTTTAATTTATTGTGAAATTGTAAAATATTTTTATTACATATCGCAGCAAAGATGATGCAAAAATACTTTAGATCTGCTTTTTTATTATGAAATTCTTTGATATTTCTACTACAAATCATAAATATTATTTAAAAATATAAACAAATTAAATCAAATCAAATAATTTATAATGAAATAAATTGCAAATATGAAATTATCATTAGCATATTTAACAAATAAAAGGTACCAGCTTTCACTATAAATTAAAAAAAATCTAAAATATTTACTTAACATTTATTTAATTCATTTTTGAATAAAATTTATAAGATTTTTATGAATTAATCAAATTGAATAAAATTTGATATTTTTAATTCATTCATATATAGACCATAAACACTCAATTAACCTTTTGATTCTTCTTTTCTTATTGTAAAATATTTTAATTATATATCACAAAGATGATGCAAATTGATAGATAAATAAATAAAGCCAACTTAAATAATTTAATAAAAAAATCTAAAATATTTATTTAATATTTAATTCATTTTTTGAATAAAATTTATAAGATTTTTATAAATTAAACAATTTATTTTAGTTAAATTTAAGATTTTTATTTTATTCATTTATAGAAAATATTTATAGAAAATGTACACTCAACTCTATTAACCTTTTAATTCTTTAGCTCTTTTTTTATTGTAAAATTGTAAAATATTTTTATAATTTTCACAAAGAAAGATGATGCAAATTGATAGATAAAAAAATAAAGCCAACTTAAATAATTTAATAAAAAAAATCTAAAATATTAATTTAATATTTAATACATTTTTTGAATAAGATTTTTATGAATTAATCAATTTTAGTTAAATTTAAGATTTTTATTTCATTCATTTATAGACTATGTGTACTCAATTAATCTTTTAATTATTTTGCTCTTTTTTTTCTTGTAGAATTCTAAAATATTTTTATGATTTTTCTTAAAGATGATGCTAATTGATAAATAAATAAAGCCAACTTAAATAATTTACAATGAAAAAAATTCTATGTCAATTTAAAAAATAGATTTTGAAAGAATTTAATATGAAAAACAAAATTTTAATTTAGAATTAATAAATGAAATTATGATAATATATTTGTTTAAACAAATTAGAATTTATATTTGAAATATTAAAATATTCCATAACACTTTGGGTTGACTTAGTTGTTAAAAGAAAGAATGAATCCATCCATGATAAGCATAAATAATAGATAAGATTTGATAAAAAGTGAGTGATCTAAAATTAATTTATGATAATGTGAATAGTAATTAGATTAACATGATATTTGATTCTTGATAAGATCTATCTATCTAAGCTATTTATTTCATCCAAAATTTCTATAAGAATCTAAGATATTAATTAAACAGTAAAATTAATCAATTAATTGATATTTCATTCAAAATTAAAAAGCATATTTAAGAAAGAATAGCTAGCAAAATAAATACATTTAAAATGGTCTTCTATATTATTGGCTTAGGTTTAGGTGACGAAAAGGACATTTCCGTTAAAGGTTTGGAAATAGTCAAAAAGTGTGATGAAGTTTACTTAGAACATTACACTTCTATCCTTGGTGTTTAGAAGGAAAAGCTCGAAGAACTTTACGGTAGATAAATTATTATGGCTGATAGAGAAATGTGCGAAGAAGGTATTGATACCATTTTAGAAAATCTCTCAAAAACACCTGAAAAAAATGTAGCTTTTTTGGTTGTTGGTGATCCTTTCTGTGCCACCACTCACTCTGATGTTTAATTAAGAGCCATTCAATTAGGCATTAAAGTAGAAATTGTTCACAATGCATCCATCATCAACGCTATTGGTTGCACAGGAATGCAAGTTTACAGATTTGGCGAAACCATCTCTATTCCTTTCTTCACCGAAAAGTGGAGACCTTACAGTTTCTATGAAAAGATTAAAAAGAACAGAGAAATGGGATTACATACTCTCTGCTTGCTTGATATTAAGGTCAAAGAAAGAACTGACGAAAACATTCTTAAGGGTAAAAAAATATACGAACCTCCCAGATTTATGAGTTGCAAAACAGCAGTAGAATAACTCTTAGAAGCAGAAGAAAAAATTGCAGGAAAAGCTTTCTCAAAAGAAACCAAGTGTGTTGGTGTTGCCAGAGTCGGTTTCTCAGACTAACTCATTAGATCAGGCCAAATGTCTGATTTCTTAAATATTGAAATGGGTCCTCCTCTTCACTCCTTTGTAATCTGTGCTGATGAACTCCACCCTATCGAAGAAGATATGTATAAATTCTACAACTAAAACTCTCAAAAGAAAGACGAATGAATATAGCAATACAAACAAATATAATTTAAATGACCTTTTGAAGTGATTTGGTAGAATTTTCAAAATAAAAACACTTGATAAAAAGTAAAAATTTAAGCAAGCAAGCAAACAAAAAATTAAATAAATAAATATATAGAAGTAATTGTATAAATTAAACTAAGTTAGTAAGTATATAATATCTGGATACATCTAAATTAGCAATTAGTTAGTTAATTATTTATTAAATATAATTGTATGTAATAAATATTCTATGTTTTTTACTTTCAATAGTCAACTCATTTTGATATTAATTAATCAATAAATAGTATCATCATTTCATCTAAATTTTTATTTTACAAATCATTCATTTTTAAACTTTTTATTTATTTTTAATTAAAAATCAAATATTTTTTTTCTTGTGCAAAATAGATTAAAATATTTTTTTATTATGATTTTGAAAAGTGAGACCTGGCAGCAATTTCTTGGGAAGGTAAGTCAATCACAATTCTATCTCAAACCAAGCAGTTATAAAATAAATTCAGATAAATATATAGATATTTTATAACAACATTTATATCATTTCTTCAAAACTTTAATTCTAATTCTATCTAGAACTAGAGGTAGCTAAAAATTCTTTTAACTCGTGTGTGATAATTATACTAATTATATTTATGCTTAAAAAATCAAATTTATAATAAAATATTTAAAAGCATTTATTATCAATCACCTTCTAAACTAACCTGATTTTAGTGTGATAGAGCATGTAAGCTCAATATTAAGGTATAAGTTGAAAGTTAAAATCATAAAAGCTAAGTTTATTTTTGAGATAAAGAATATATATTGTTTTAATATTAACTTATTTAAACAATTTTCAAAAAAGATTCACGGTCTTACTTATTTAAAAAATTTTCAAAAAGATTGATTGAATTTATAAGATTATTATAAACTGTTAAATAACTTGCTATTGTTTTAAAAAATATTTTATGATAAGAAAGACTTCATAGTATATAATATTTCTCTTAAGCTAATATTTGATAATATTTACAATTTTTATATTAAAAAAAATAAATTTCTAAAAATTAGAATTGAATAGTTGTAAAACGGATTATTGATTTAGATGTAAATTTAAAATATTGAAATATTGATTGATTAAGCCAAAAAATGCTGAAGGCAAACAAAAAAACAAATATTGATATTTGAAAATAAATTTGAGTTAATGAATGAATATTTTTTAATATTTAAATTAAATAGCTATTTGTCAAGCAACACTCATGATCATCTTCTAAGCATAGACTTATATTTTTTGATGAGTTAATCTTCAGCATCATCAAGGAAGCCTTAATATTGTTGAAGTTCAAGATTTTCTGTTTGATAAAAAATATTTAAAATTATATATATTTTAAAAGCTGTTTATTTATTTGTTTAATTACCTTTTTCATTTTAGAAGAACTTTTGGTTAGCAGATCCAGTTTAGTTATTTTATTATTGACCAAACATGCCTTTCATTTGATTCATTTATTCCATTGGGTTCATCATGTTTCCTAAACCACCCATGCCACCCATCATGCCTCCCATACCAGGCATAGCAGGCTTGATTCTTCTAGTCAAAGCTATGCAAAGAATAAAGTAAAAAATTAAATTTTAATGCATTTTTTACATTAAAATCAATAGAAATATTTAATGAAAATAAAGTATTGATATATATAATTACATTCTTTGGCTCTGAGGTCTGATTCGGATTCGTCTTCATTTTTTAAGAAAATACTGATCAACTATGAAAGAGAAGATAAGACCAAGAAGTAAAGAGACAAAGAAGAAACGTATCTGACATTTAAATTCATCATATTCATACCACTTTAAAGCATTTATCTGAACTTTTAGGTTAAAGGGAAAGGAACACGTGCAACGATGAAACCTGAAAAGAGATATCTGACCCAACTGAAAAGAACGATCATAGGTACGGCCATAGTGATATTACCCTTAAGCATATCCATCATTTGGTTAGAATTCATAGGCATTTGAGGAGCGCCATTATTATTTGTTTCAGGAGCAGGTCTTTCACCTCTTTCAACTAAATAACCTTTTGTTCTGTCCTTACATAAATGATACTTTCTGCGATTGAAAGAAGCTTCTTTCAATAAACCTCCGTGCTTAACCAAGTTTTAACATCTCATTAATTGCAACCTTTTAAATTAAATATTTGTTAAAACAACATGCTTGTTTATTTTTATTTAAATCTATTTGAGCTATTTAAAATCTGTTTGATGCAATATTAATTTGCAAAAAATAAATTATTTCAATCATGATGAATTCTTTGTCTAATTTATAAACTAAAGATTATTTACTTATCGCTGACATCAACTTATTCAGTCTTTGAACTTGCCTTTGGAATCTAAACTTTGTTGCCACTAATTGTCAAGTAATGTCTAATCAAAGTAACCTAAATTGTTTAATTTTAATATCATTTATTTGAAAATTCATAACAAATAGTTCTCCTCAAAAATGCGATTTAAATGTTTCTTTTATGTAAAATGGAGGCAGATAAACGAATATTATGATAAAATAAGGAATGCTAAGTACCATAATCATGACAATAACGATGGGGAAGAAAACCCAATCTCTAATTTTATGATCTATAACTATATCTTACATTATCTCTCCTTATGGATTTTTACTATCTATCAATCTAGTATTGTTTCCTAAAAACTAAAATTACAATAAATCTATTAAATTTTGATTTAATTAATCAAATATATTATTATTTATTTATTGCATATATTTTCTCACTATTTAAATTTTTGTAATCTTTTAAAGAATCTTAAACCTCCTTTATTAAAATGAATTATGTATGTTTGACAAACAGATTAAGAAGACTATTCTATTCTTTTTCAACTTATCTTAAAATTTAACTTTGTATAAACACAATAATAAAAGCCCAAAAAAGTAATTTAATTTTAATTTCAATTATTATTTTAAAATAATTAATCTATTTTAATTTTATTGTTGCTTTACTTTTAAAATATTTAGTCTAAATTATTCAAAAATTTTTTTATCTATTCAAGTAAAAACAAATTCTATAAATCAAGATCATTTGATCTAATTTTAAAAAGCATTTTATAATACTCTAATATACCACAAATAATTGAGTTAAATTTTCCTAATATATATTTTAATTTAAAATGACATTTTTAAAAACAATCAAAACAAACTAAAAGATAGAAAATAATTAGATAAAGAAATAATTAAATTGTTTAGAAAGATAAAAAAATATTTATAAAGCTCATAATCAAATTGATCTTGTGTGCCTATAAAAATATAAATTTAAATTTATAATTTAATAAAAATAATATTTTAAATGAATTAATTATATTTATAATAAATCAATATATATACTAATGAAAAATTTATTGGTTTTTTTTTCCACTAAAAACTTAAAACTACAATTTTTACATTTTAATTTTTTAATTTAACTAATGCATACCAATATTTATCTGAATAAATTAATTAATTTTTTAGCAAAATAAAATAAATTAGAATAATTCTAAATTCAAAAATAAAGTTTTAGGCTAATGAAAGAATTGTAGGTAAAGCATGATAAATATAAATAAGTCTCAGATAAGCAACAATTAATCAATTTAAGAAAGAAATAAATAAAGAATATAAATTAATAGTTTTAATAATAATAATATATATTTGTCTATTATTTAAATTTGGTGAAATATTTTATGTAGCATTTGTATATTAATATGAATAAACTAATAGAATTATAAGCGAAATAAAATATAATAAATTAGAATAATTCTAAATTCAAAAATAAAATTTTAGACTAATGAAAGAATGGCTGGCAAAGCATGATAAATATAAATAAATCTCAGATAAGCAACAATTAATCAATTTAAGAACGAGAGAAATAAAGAATATGAGTTAATAATTTTAATAAAAATAATATTAGTCTGTTATTTAAATTTGATTAAATATTTTATGTAGCATTTGTATATTAATGTGAATAAACTAATAGAATTATAAGCGAAATAAAATATAATAAATTAGAATAATGCTAAATAAATGAATAATATGATACTATGAAATAGTACAGATAGATTCAAAAATAAAATTTTAGACTAATGAAAGAATGGCTGGCAAAGCATGATAAATATAAATAAATCTCAAATAAACAACAATCAATCAAAGAAACAAAGAAAGAATATGAATTAATAGTTTTGACAATAATTAAGATATATATATCAAAGGAAACAGATTATTAGTAATTTCATTCATTTCCTCTTTGAAATATTAAAAGAAAATATTAATTTTTTTGTATTATTAAGAATATAAACAGATACCAATAATATTTGTATTAGTAGAAAGAAAGAATTACCTATTCATTTCTTAGTAAATAATAAGCAATAAAAAATAGTGGAGATAATAAATATATCATTAAGCTAGTAATAAATAAAGGGTTTTAACACAAAGCAAGCAAATTAGTTTTTATTTTTAGTACATTGTCATTTAAAATGAAACTTAGAATTCATAGAAGACATGAGTCAGGAGCATCTAATGCAGATTAAAGGTAATTGCATATTTATATTGTTCTATTTAGAGATAATTATATTATTTATGTCTTTTAATTGATATGTAGTATTTGGTTTAGTATATAAAATGTTTTATTAAAATATAATTTAGAATAAGGGAATACAACAATCATAAATTAAATGCTAGTGAAGTTATTTCTAGGAGATAGGCAAACAATAGTTTCCATGGCTCGTCTTATAATTCAGTTAATAGGGATTTTGAAAAGCTAAATTAAACAGCATTTGGAAACGAAGAACTTTATAAGGCTCTTAATAAATCTAAACCCTTGTATGAAAGTAATAAAAAGGAAATTAAGCAGAGAACAGCAATTTCTCTACCAAGAACTAGTCAATTAGAAGAAAAAGAAAAGAGAAAGCGAGCTTTTGTTGGAGATTCGCTTGTACATTTACAAAATCCTAACTCTATTTATGATCCAAAAATTAACACTGGCGATTTAACGAATATGCTATCTAGTTAAATTTATGGATCAAATAAAAAAGAATAATAAGATGAAAATCTCTCTAAAATATAAATTTTTTAAACTGGTTCTCCTTTAAGTAATTTATTTGTTGATTTCACATGTTTATTTTTAGTCTACTTTTATTATTTACATTTAATAAACCGTTGCAATCAAACAAACCAAGCTTTCTTAAAAATCTAAAATAAATACTTTCAAAAGCTAAATTAAGATAAAAATCTATTTTAATAATTAAAACAAATATTGATAAAAAACAAAGAATTTAGTTTAAAATAATTTAAATTTTTGAGCATTAAAATAAATGAAATTATTTATATTATTTAGAAAATAAAATACTGCAAGAAGTAAAACATGAAGAATACAAAAATTAAAATTTAGAGACTTAATTGGTGGAGCTGAGAGATAATAAGGATTGTCCTGAGGGATAGTTTAATATAAATAAAATTAATGAAATTAAAGCTACTATTTAAAGAAAGTATTAGCAAAGGAAGAACTTTAAGTAGATTTTTGAGTGTTGGGACGAAGAAGGAAAAGGAACAATTAATAAAAAAAACATTGTAAATATGCTGAGCAGAATGGGAATTAAATGCAATGAAGAAGAAGCTTAGATTTTACTATCAACTGCTGATAAAGATAATTCTAATGATTTGAATATGCAAGAATTTTTAGACTTGGTTTTTGTTAATAATTAAGTAAAATAAAATGATACCAGAAACACTCGCTCATTTAGCCAAAATCCTAAACTTTAAAATATAAATTTATATGAGTCTTTATCAAGTCTTAATGAGAATTAACACCCAGAAATAAGCTCTCCAGAACTATAGAGAAAACTTAGAAAGCAAATTTAGGTTGAAGATGACACAAGAAATGAAAAGAAACTCAATTTCGTTTTGAAAAATAAAATCACTCAGCTATTAAACAATTTCTGGATAAATGATTATAAATAAACAGGAGTCATTAATTAAAAAACATTCAAAGAAATCATTAGAAGAAAAGTTGATCTTTCTGAAAATGTTATCTCTGACTAAGAAATCCAACAAATTTATTCAAAATACTAAAATACAGATAAAACCGATGCATTTAATTATAAATAATTTGTTAAAGACCTTAGACAATTTAATTATGCTGAAAAGCCAGAAACTGAATAAAATACTGTAAATTTTTTATTTTCTTAAGATATTTTTTATTAATATTAGCAATTTTTAAATTCTAAAATAAATTTTAATATTTAAAGAAAATAATTTAATTATTTTTATCTAATTTTCTTAAAAATTACAGATCATTTTGAATATTATAAAATAACAATAAAACTTTATTCAGGAATATTATTTTTTAAGAATATTTTTTTGTTTTATTTGATTAAATTAGATAAATTAATAAAAATAATTTTTGAATAAAAAGGTTGATGTAGTGAATGAAAGCATGAAACAAACAAATGTTTATAAAAATTTAATGTAAAAATACAAGAAAGAGGAAAATCCTACTGAATTTAACTTAAAAGAGGTCTTCATAAATGATATTTAAAACGATAATCCATCTCATATAGATTGGATGAAAGCTAGGGCTGATAAACTATCTAGACATATCCAAAAGTTCTTCAATAATGAAAAAGAATTTTAGCAATATTTAAAACAGCAAATTCCTGATAATTAAGACAAGGGGTAGATTCACAAGAGTGAATTGCTTAAGACATTTAAGGGGATGTTTGATCAAACAGATCTCAAATTTCAAAAAAGAGATTACGAAGGAATTATGGAAATGTTTTAATATAACAAACATGGCTTTACTAATGTAGATGATATTCCAAAAATTATTTACTAGTAATAAATAAATAAATTGAGTTATAATTGACATTTTTTATATAAAAATTATTTGATTTAATTATTTTATTATAAATATTAATAGAGAAAACCATCTTTAGATGTATTCTAGAATCGCATAGAAAATAAGAGGTATTTTTTTAATTGTTATTTTATGTTTCTGAATTATATTTGAACAAATAAGGACCACCTCCTATGACAAAGAAAGAAACTAATGCTACAGAAGAAATGCGTAATGGAGTAACTACTAATTCATTGTAAATGAATAGTGTGGTTAGCATTTAAGATTATGATAAGAATAATGATGTTTATGATTTAAATAAATAAAGTGCAACTACTGGTGTTTATTAAAAAAATTAAGGAGAATAGAATTAATAGTAATTCTAAGCTATATAAAATAGAAGCAAAAGAGGAAATAGCGTTTAGAGTTATAATCATAAAGGAGAAGGTGAACCTAAATACTCTAACTCATAAATTAAAAGTGTACTGAAAAAGGTAGAAGATAAATTATTTTTAGGTGATTCACGTGCATATTAAGTATTCAAAACATTTGATTTAGATAAAGATGGTAAATAGTTTAATTTATACTTTTAAATGATGCATAGAATAGAAAAAATACAAGTTTTTAAAATGAATAACAAAGATTTTAATAAAAGAAATGATTTAATTTATAAATGTTTTTTTGATAATAAAAAATTTTATTTAATATTAAAAAGGATATGTGAAAAAAGATGAATTAAATGAAAAATTGAGCTAAATGAGCATACTTAATCCAGAAGAATAGAAGATATTTAATAAATATGTAGATCCTAACAATTAAGGATATCTTAATTTTTCTTAATTTAATGAAAAAATTAATTCTTAAATGTCTATTTAATATGAAAAAAATGAAATAGAACTTAATCCTTATGTATAAAGATAAGTTATATAAAATAGAATTAACATGTCTAAAACTTATAACAATTTCATTGATTAAACCAGATAAGCTTTCTAGCAATAATCAAGAGGTATATAAATTAATTAATTTATTTATTTTATAATTTGATTTTATTTATTTTATAATTTATTACAGCCAGAATAACTTCACTGAACTCAAATAGTTAAAGCATATGCAATTATTCAAATAATAATATAATTAAACCTACATATAATTCAAGCTTGTATGCCAGTGAATAAGATAGATTTAGCTCTAATAAATTAGATTTTTAGTAGTATGACAAATAAAAAAAGGAATTTTACCATTAAAATAAGCTATAAAATATAAGAATAAATAATAATATTATTGAACAAAGAAAACAAAATAAAATAAATCAGGAAGAGTCTAGACTAAATTCAACTATTTAAACAAGAGCTGCCACTAAATTAATTTATGAAAATGTAAATAGATTAAGTTTATTTTTATTTAATTAATACTTTTATCTTAATTAAAATTTATTTCAATAAATAAATAAATAAATAAATAAAATAAAAAGGTAGTTAAAAGCAATATTTTAGCAGCTGCAATTTGATAAAGTTACAAAAATAAAACAAACAAAAATACTAAAAAAATATATTATTTAGTATCAATAATTATTTACTATATAGTTTATATACTGTAAAACCTTTTGCTATACACTACACACACTTCATAGTTTTCAAAAAAAATAAATGAGTAAGGTGCATAAAAACTTAGTTAAAGCTGATATCATTATGCGCCTTAATTACAGCATATACGGTACCTCATATTTTAGTTTTTTGTAAAAGTTAAAATGAAAATTTATTGAAAAAATTTTCTAACTCACAAATTGTAAAATATAAAATTATTAAGGTATTAAAATAAAAGTAGATTAAAATATCAACTATTGAAATCTTCTACTATAAAAGCATCAGTTATTGCATATTAAATATTAGAGTTAACTAATAAAAAAAATTTGAAATCATCAATTATTGAAAGCTATGCTAATCTTTCATTTTCAAGAGTTACTTGACAGTCATATTTTGGATAATCAAGAATTTAAAATATTTATCCGCCTAACCATATTCTACATTCAACTATGCTTCCTTATTCTAATACCATATTTTATCCTTTTAAATATTTATAATTGAGTGAACAACTATATAATTTTAAATTTTAATTTACTGGATTGAAACAAGCATACATTAAATCTTAATTACCTGTTTTACAATTAAAATTTTTTAACTGCATTAATCCAAAAATTAAATTATTTGGAAATGAAAAAGATTTTAACTATATTCTAAAAATATATTTTTTATTTTATTATAAAACTATATTTGATATACAATTCGTATTTAATCCTTTTTTTTAACCTTAGTAATTTTCTTCATTTAAATTAATTTCGATTGAATTTTAATCAATTATTTGTTAAATAAAAATTCTCTTATCTCCATCATTTAATTAACTTTTTATTAACTATAAGTCTTTTAAAATGTCTATTTAGTCTTTTTTTTTTTGAATTATATCAAAAATAGGAAATTCTTTTAGAATTCTTTCAAGTTCATAACTTTTATAAGTTCTAAATAATGGATTATCTTTAATTTTAAAAGTTTAGCTTTATTTTTCATTATTTGCAATTAGTTATTTTTCTTTCAATAACAAAAGAAGATCGTTTATTGTTTCTTCGTTGATTGAATTTAGCAATTAAAAGTTTTCTTTTTAGTAAAATTGTTAAATATTTAAATTATTTTTCACAAATGGATAAGTTTCTTTAAAGTATTCACTTAATATTTATTAAGAATCTAAATTAAGAAAATTAATCTTGCTTTTTACAATTTTTTCTATGTCTTAAATGAATGGAGATTACTATATCTAAAACAAATAATTCTAATCATTTTGTAATTAAATTTAATGATTAACATATTCATTAATATCATTCATTTTTTACTCATTTATCTAATCAAATTTTATTGGCTCTTTCCCTTATTAAAACATATTTTCATTACAGAATTTTTCAAACAAGCAATCCAATTTTTCCAGCTAGCTTCTAACAAAATTTAAAAAATCATCAGAGCAATAATTAGATTTATTAGAAATTAAGGGCAATAATTTATCACAAATGTTATAAAGTTTTTAAGGTTAATCCCTGCTATTGCTATTTGTGTTATTAATTAAATCACTATCAAAGAAGTTGATTTTATCAATAAAAGAAAAGATTTATTATTTGATCATATTAGGATATTCGTAATTAACTAATTATTACTATTAAGTACTTTTCTCTAGTAATTTTTGAAGTTATTCTGTATTTTAATCTTTTTTTAGTTCTAATTCTGAAATGAAGTTTTTAAATTTTTATTCTACTGAAGAGTCAAGTTTATTATTTTTGTTTTCAATAATCAAAGATCTAAGTTACTAAATTTATGATATCTATTAATATTGCTTTATGATTAGGTCTTTTCCCAAAGGTAAATCGAGAGCATGATTGATCATTTATTTTTAGCAATATTCTATTTTTCTGCTAACTTCATCTCGAAGTTCAGCAAAATAATTGGTAATTCTTTGAACTACATACTAAGATTTATCGAATTTTGATGTCTCATTAATCAGTTTCTCAATTATTTATTAATCATTTACAGGCGGCCATTTTTATAGAATGCAGTTTTCACCTTATAAAATAATCTATTCAATTAGAAGATAGTTTATTCCCTTAAAATCAAGGTCTTCATTTATACAATCAGTACAATAAAAAAGATTAGAATTAGGCTAATCTCTGACTTGATTTACCTGTATAAATTTTAATTTCTTTTTTGAGTGCTTGTTGCAATTTTGGAATTTTTGAAGTATTTATTGATCTATTTATTTCTTTAAAAGCTTAATTATGTTTGATTAGTTTTTAATTCAAATATAAATTAATTAATTACTCTCCATAACTAAAAAATGAATGAATGAATTAATTAATAAGAGTCTATCTATAATAATGATATAGTTAGAAGAATAATATTTCGATTAAATTATATTTTATTATAAAATTAAATAGTACTTAACTATTTAATAATAGAAAAAATATAAAAAACAAACATCTACAATTAAAAAAATAAAAAACAAAATATTTTTAGTAGAAATATATTGGTCACTAATTTTTTGAGTTATATTAAATATAAGCATGAATTAGAAGAAACAATAAATTTAAAAGAGGAGATTTGGGTACTTTACAGATTAAAACATTAAAATTTTTTTTTTGAAGTATCACATCAAAACAAAAATAAAATAAATTATAGACTTTTATTCAATCATCAAAATTCTCAACTATTAAAGCATCTGTAATAATATATGATTTATATTAGTCAAATAATTGTACAAAAAATGATGGATTTTCTAAATTTTTAAGTTTTTTTAATTATTCATTTTTAATTGAAACTATGTAATTATTTTAAGGGTAGTCTGTTATTTATAGTATTTTTCCATTTAACCAAACTCTTAATTCTATTATTGTACTTTCAGCTATTTACAAGTCTTTTCCCTTTAAATAGTTGTTAAAGATAGTACCAAAAAGTTTTAATTATTTATCTTCACATTAAAACTCAGCAAATTGTTATTCTTAACATCCTTTTTGAGTATTTAAATTTTTTTACTCCATAATTCCGATTTGAAAATACCTTGGTGAATTATCTTTCGATTTAAATTATACCCTAAAGATATATTTTTTATCTTTTTCTAAAATCATATTTGACATGCAATTAGCAAGAGTTTATGCTTATTTCCCTAGATAAAATAGTTCATTTATTGATATTTCATATTAATTTAAATTATTTTTTTAAATCTAAATCCTTTAATCACCATCATTAAAAGTACCCTTTAAAAATTATAATTCATTTAAGATGCTTATTCCTTCTTTAGGAATTAAATCAAAAATAGGGAATTATCTAAAAATTCTATCAAGATTTTCTTTTTTAAATTATTGAAGTTCTTTACAATTTGAAATTATTTACGTTTGACTATTATTCATAGAATTTCTGATCTCTTGCTTTTTTTTCATTAAAGAGAAGAGATCATCAATCATCTCTTCATCTATTTAATTAAATAACTCAAATTTTTCTAATTCTTAAATTATTTTAGTATTTTCTTCTTTCTTTAAATAAGGATAAGTTTTTGTTAAATGATTGATTATAGTTTTTTATGAAGCTTAGTTAATGAAATTGAGTTTGTTCTCCATAATTTTTTGAATATCTTTGATAACTTTAGATTATTAGATCTCTCTCTGATAATTACTGTTGCTTTGTAGTTAAATTTAATGTTAAACAAATTCATTAATTTAATTCATTTTTTCTTCTGTTAACTTTTCGAATTCTGTTGGCTTTTTCCCTTAAATGAACATGTTTTATGTAGGAATATCTTCTATCAAAGCACTTATCTTTTCTAATTTTTGCTTAACTTAATTTAAAAATTCATTTGAGCAAAAATTAGATTTGTTAGAAATCAATTGCATTATTTTTGTGCAAAAATTAGTTGATTCACCTTGATTATCAACATGATCATTATTTGAACTATTTAAAATACCATGATTGAAGAAATTAATTTTATCTACAAAAGAGAAGATTTATTCTTTAATCATATTAGGCAACTCAAAATTAATTAAATATTACTATTTGACACTCGAATCAAGCAATTATTACAATTGTTTAGTATTTTAATCTTTTTTTAATTCTACTTCTGTAATAAATTTTTTAAACTTTTGTTAAGTTGGTGGTTATTAAAATGTTTTATCATCTTTGCACTCATTTATCAATGATTTAAGCTATAAAATTTATGATATCTATTGATATTGGTTGATTATTTAGCTTTTTCCAAAAGGTAAATCTTGAATTTGATTAATCATTTTTTTTTAACAAAAGTCAATTCTTCTGATAATTTCGTCCTTAAGTTCTGTGAAATAATTAGTAACTCTTTAAATAATATGCTATGACTAATCGAATTTAGAAGTTTCCTTAATTAGTTTTTCTATTACTGAGTAGTCATTAACAGGTGGCCACTTTTAAATGATGCTATTTTCACCCTCTTAGATAATTTGTTCAATTAGGATGTAATTTTTTGCTTAAAAGTTTAAATCTTCATTGATACAATCTGTGCAATAGAAGAGATTTTATTCAGCGCTGCTGTTGACTTGATTTACTTGAATAAATTTTAATTTCCTTTTTGAATGTTAAGAACAATTGTGAAATTTTTAAACCTTTGTTTAATCCATTTTAAAGTAAGCTTGATTTAATTTTTGTATTTTTTTAAACTATTAATTAACTATTTAATAATGATACAAAACAATCGAATCTATCTTTTAAACCAAAGAAATACTAAAATTGAATAAAGATTTATAAATCTATGGAAAAAAATAAAATACTTTTATTTTCTTAAACAAATGGAGTAGTATGTTCGATAATTTTAAATGTTACGAGATTTGAATTTTCTAAATTAAAATATAAAGAAGGAGTGAAAGTAAGTTGAATTTAAAGTGAAAAATTAAGTTAAAATTGTAGAAAAATTAATTTTTGATAAAATTTTTTATAATTAGCTCCTTATGTTTTTTATATTCTTGAAACATATTAATTTTTAATACTATTTTTAATTAATAATTTAGCTCAATACACCTTAGTCAGTCTGATCATGGTAAAATATTTGCAAATAAAAAAAAAACTGTAAATCCTTATAAGTTCAAGAAGAAAAAAATATGGTTTTTTTTTTCAAATATTCAGAATTAATGCTGACGTATTATATTTTTAGTTTATTTGTTTTATTCGATTTTATTTATTTTATGCTATATTTAATAACTCTAACTCACTTTTTAAATAATTGATTGTATTAAAAACCTTTGAAAAACCTAAATTTAATATGTTATATAATTTTAATAGATAAGCAGTCTTATAAAGCTACAATAATGGAGTGTTTTACATAAGTAAAATAGGTAGGAAGAAGGTAGTATTATAAATAAATTTACATTAGATTTTTGTTGTTAAATTTTTGAAATATGTATAAGGCGTTATAAATCTACACATTGACTGCTAAATATTATATATTTTTTAATGAAATTAAATTTTAAATTAAATAAAATAAAAAAATAAATTAATTACTTTAGAACTAAACAAATTATTTTGAATTAAACATACTATAAACTTCTATTATTTTTTATATTAAACAAACAATTATAAAATAAATTATAGATTTTTGTTCAAATATCAAAATTCTAAACTATTAAAGCCTCTGTTATAATATATGATTTTTATTACTCAAATAATTGTACAAAAAAAGATGGTTTTTCTAAATTTTGAAGTTTTTCTAATTATTCATTTTTAATTGAAACTATGTAATTATTTTATGGGTAGTCTGTTATTTATAGTATTTTTCCTTTTAACCAAACTCTTAATTCTATTATTGTACTTTCAGCTAGTTACAAATCTTTTCCCTTTAAATAGTTATTAAATCTAATACAATCAAGTTTTAATTATTTATTTTTATATTTAAACTCAACATATTTTTAATCTTTGTATCCTTCTTAACTATTTAAATTTTTTTAATCCATAATTCCTATTTGAAAATACGTTGATGAAATATCTATCAATTTAAATTATACCCTAAAGATATATTTTGTGTCTTTTTCTAAAATCATACTTGACATGCAGTTAGCAAAAGTTTTTCGTTTTTCTCCTGTATATAATTCATCATTTACAGATATTTCATACTAATTTAAATTACTTTTTGAAATTTAAATCCTTTAATCACCATCATTAAAAGTACCTTTTAAGAATTATAAAACATTTAAGATACTTATTTTTTATAGAGGAATTAAATCAAATATAGGGAATTATCTAAAAATTCTATCAAGATTTTCTTTTTTAAAGAATTCAAACTTTTAAATATTTTAAATTATTTATGTTTGACTAGTGTACATACAATTTCTGATCTCTTACTTTTTTTTCATTAAAGAGAAGAGATCATCAATCATCTCTTCATCTATTTAATTAAATAACTCAAATTTTTCTAATTCTTAAATTATGTAAGTATTTTCGTCTTTCTTTAAATAAGGATAAGTTTCTGTCAAATGATTGATTATAGTTTTTTATGAAGCTTAGTTAATGAAATTGAGTTTGTTCTCCATAATTTTTTGAATATCTTTGATAACTTTAGATTATTAGATCTCTCTTTGATAGTTGCTGTTGCTTTGTAACTAAATTTAATGTTAAACAAATTCATTAATTTAATTCATTTTTTCATCTGTTAACTTTTCGAATTCTATTGGTTTTTTCCCTTAAATGAACATGTTTTACGTAGGAATATCTTCTATCAAAGCACTTAGCTTTTCTAATTTTTGCTTAACTTAATTTAAAAATTCGTTTGAGCAAAAATTAGATTTATTAGAAATCAACTGTATTATTTTTGTGCAAAAATTAGTTGATTCACTCTGATTATCAACGTGATTATTATTTGAACTATTTAAAATACCATGATTGAAAAAATTAATTTTATCTACAAAAGAGAAGATTTATTCTTTAATTATATTAGGCAACTCAAAATTAATTAAATATTATTATTTAACACTCTAATCAAGCAATTATTGTAATTGTTTAGTATTTTAATCTTTTTTTAATTCTATTTCTGTAATAAAGTTTTTAAATTTCTCTTATTTTGGTGATTATTAAAATGTTTTATCATCCTTGGACTCATTTATCAATGATCTAAGCTATAAAATTTGTGATATCTATTGATATTGGTTGATTATTTAGCTTTTTCCAAATGGCAAATCTTGAATTTGATTAATCATTTTTTTTTAACAAAAATCAATTCTTCTGATAATTTCGTCCTTAAGTTCTGTGAAATAATTAGTAACTCTTTAGATAATATGCTATGACTAATCAAATTTAGAAGTTTCCTTAATTAGTTTTTCAATTACTGAGTAGTCATTAACAGGTGGCCACTTTTAGATGATACTATTTTCACCCTATTAGATAATTTGTTCAATTAGGATGTAATTTTTTGCTTAAAAGTTTAAATCTTCATTGATACAATCTGTACAATAGAACAAATTTTATTCAGCGCTGCTGTTGACTTGATTTACTTGAATAAATTTTAATTTCCTTTTTGAATGTTAAGAACAATTGTGAAATTTTTAAGACTTTGTTTAATCCATTTTAAAATAAGCTTTATTTATTTATTGTTTGTATTTGTTTAAATTATTAATTAAAATTTAGTAATGATATAAAAGAATCAAATCTTTTAAAAGAAATAAATACAAAAATCTAATAAAGATTTATTAATTTATGGAAAAAAATAGAATACTTTTATTTTCTTTAACAAATGATATAATATGTTCAATAATTTTAAATGTTTAGAGTTTTAAATTAAAATAAAAAGAGGAAGTAAAATAATTTTTTAAAATTGAATTTAAAGTGAATTTTTTTTTTTATAAAAAGTGGTTTACAACCTAATAAAATATTATTTTTTATTTACCCTAAAAAGTAAATTCAAAATTTTAATTTACTGATAAAAATTGATTCTTTAATTAAAAATAATTTGGGAAGTAAAAAATTAACTTAGTTAAAATATTTTATTATTTGCTTCTTTATATTCTTGAAAATTTTATTTTTATCTATTTTTAATTAATTATTTAATTCAAAACACCTTGGTAAATCTGATCTCATGGTAAAATAATTATATTAAATATATTTTATATTTAATTAACAATATTAAATTTAAATTAAAAATATTTATTTTATTAAGACGTTACAATATCTGTAAAAAACTCAAATCCTAAATATATTTATTATTATAAATAAATCAATTAAATTAAAAACCTAAAATATTTAAGTTAATTTTCTCTAAAAATTATCAAAGTATGGTTAACCAAATAAAGTATTTTCAATTTATTTTCTAATTTAAAAAATTTTATTATAAAAAGTTTAATAAATAAAAAGGGATTGGAATTAGGTTTGAGGTAGAGTTTAAGTGATTAAGGGATTAGAGTTAGAGTTTTTATTATGAATTGCAACATATATTAAATTAAGAGTATTATTAATATTATAAATATTAGTGGTGGATGAAAGGGGGAAAAATTATTGTTAAATGTGATAAATAAAAGAAAATTTACTAATATATTTAAGCAAAAATATTGTCTAACTCACAAATTATAAAATATAAAATCAAGGTTTTACAATAAATGCAGAATAAAATATCAATTATTAAAATCTTCTACTATAAAAGCATCAGTTATTGAATAAAACCTGCCACTACGGCCAGTTAATAAATAAAATTTTAAATCATTAATTATTGAAAGTTATGATAGTCTTTCATTTTCAAGAGTTACTTGACAGTTATATTTTGGATAATCAAGAATTTAAAATATTTATCCTCCTAACCATATTCTACATTCAACTATGCTTCCTTATTCCAATACCATATCTTTTCCTTTTAAATATTTGTAATTGAGTGAAGAACTTTTTAATTTTAATTTATTATTTTCTAGTTAAAAACAAACATACATTAAATCATCAATACCTTCATAAATATTAAAATTTTTTAGCTACATTAATCCAAAAATTAAATTTTAATTTTAAAAAGACTTTAACTTTATTCTAAAAACATATTTTTTATTTAATTATAAAGCTATATTTAATATACAATTTGTACTTTATCCTTTTTTTTTGCCATAGTAATTTTCTTCATTTGTACCAATTTCTATTGATTTTTAATCAATTAGATGTCTAATATAAATTCTCTTATCTCCATCATTTAATTCACTTTTAATTAACTACAAATTATTTAAAATATCTATTTTACCTTTAGGAATTATATCAAAAATAGGAAATTCTTTTAGAATTTTTTCAAGTTCTTAACTATCATATTTTATAAATAACTCATTTTCTTTAATTTTAAAAGTTTCGCTTTATTTTTAATTATTTGCAATTAATTATTTTTCTATCAATATCAAAAGAAGATTTTTTATTGTTTCTTCATTCATTGAATTTAACAATTAAAAATTATCTTTTTATTAAAATTGTTAAATATTTAAATTATTTTTCACAAATGGGAAGGTTTCTTTAAAATATTAAATTAAAATTTATTAAGAATCTTAATTAATAAAGTTAATCTTGCTTTTTATAATTTTTTCAACATCTTAAATGAATGGAGATTACTATATCTAAAACTAGTAATTCTAATCATTTTACAATTAGATTTAATGATTAACATATTCATTAATTTCATTAATTTTTTAATCATTTATCTAATCAAATTTTATTGGCTCTTTCCCTAATTAAAACATATTTTTGTTACAGAACTTTTCAAACAAAAAATCTAATTTTTCCAGTTAATTCCTAACAAAATTTAAAAAATCATCAGCACAATAATTAGATTTATTAGAAATTAAGGGCATTAATTTATCACAAATGTTATAAACTTTTTAAGGTTAATCCCTGTTATTGCTATTTCTGTTATCAATTAAATCATTATCAAAGAAGTTGATTTTATCAATAAAAGATAAGATTTATTATTTGATCATATTAGGATATTCGAAATTAACTAATTATTACTATTAAGTACTTTTCTCTAGTAATTTTTGAAGTTATTCTGTATTTTAATCTTTTTTTAGTTCTAATTCTGAAATGAAATTTTTAAATTTTTATTCTACTTAAGAGTCAAGTTTATTATTTTTGTTTTCAATAATCAAAGATCTAAGTTACTAAATTTATGATATCTATTAATATTGCTTTATGATTTGGTCTTTTCCCAAAGGTAAATCGAGAGCATTTTTGATCATTTATTTTTAGCAATATTCTATTTTTCTGTTTACTTCATCTCGAAGTTCAGCAAAGTAATTTGTAATTCTTTGAAATACATACTAAGATTAGTCGAATTTTGATGTCTCCATAATCAATTTTTCAACTATTTATTAATCATTTACAGGTGGCCATTTTTATAGAATGCAGTTTTCACCTTATAAAATAATCTATTCAATTAGAAGATAGTTTATTCCCTTAAAATTGAGGTCTTCATTTATACAATCAGTACAATAAAAAAGATTAGAAGTAGGCTAATCTCTGACTTGATTTACCTGTATAAATTTTAATTTCTTTTTTGAGTGCTTGTTGCAATTTTGGAATTTTTGAAGTTTTTATTGATCCATTTATTTCTTTAAAAGCTTTATTATGTTTTGATATATTTTTAATTAAAATATAAACAAATTAATTACTCTCCTTAACTAAAAAATTAATTAATAAATAAGAGTCTATAATAATAATACAGTATCAAGAATAATAGTTGGATTAAATTTATATTTCATTATAAAATTAAAGAGTATTTAATTATTTAATAATAGAAAATATTTAATAAACGATTAATTTCATAAGAAAATAAAAAATATAATATTGAAAGTATAAATGTATAAATTATTAATTTTTTGAGTTATATAAATATATATAAGCATGAAGCAAAAGAAACAATAAACTTAAAATAAGAGATTTGGGTCATAAACAGATTAAAAAAAAAATAAATTACTTAAAAATTACACAAATTAATTTGTATTAAACATATTATGAATTACTAATAATTATTTTTTATATCAAATAATTTTAAAATAAATTATAGATAAATATATTTTTACTCAATCATCAAAATTTTTAACGATTAAAGCCTCTTTTATAATATATGAACCTAATTAATCGTATAACTGAACAAAAAATGACGGTTTTTCTAAATTTTAAAGATTTTCTAATACTTAATTTTTAATTGAAACAATGTAATTGTTTTTTGGGTAGTCTGTTATTTATAGTACTTTACCATTTAGCCAAACTCTTAATTCTATTATTGTACTTTCAGGTAAGTCTGTGTCTTCTCCCTTTAAATAGTTGTTAAATAGATTACATTTAAGTTTTAATTATTTATTTTCCCATTAAAGCTCAACAAATTTTAAATCTTTGTATCCTTCTTAAGTATTTAAATTTTTTTATTCCATAATTCCAATTTGAAAACACCTTTTTGAGGCTTCGATATTTTTTAATTATATTCTAAATAAATATTTTTTATCTTTTTCTAAAATCACATTTGACATGCAGTTAGCAAAATCTTAACTTTTTTCTCCAGTATAATGTTCATTATTTATTGTTATTTCATACTAATTTAAATTATTTTTTAAAATCTAAATCCTTTAATCGCCGTCATTAAAAGTACCTTTTAAGAATTCTAAATTATTTAAGATGCTTATTTCTTTTATAGGAATTAAATCAAAAATTGGAAATTATTTAAAAATTAAATCAAAATCTTATTTTTTAAATTATTTAAGTTCTGTGTAATTTGAAATAATATATGTTTGACTAGTATTCATAGAATTTCTGATCTCTTACTTTTTTTTGAGTAAGAAAAAGAGATTATTAATCATATCTTCATCTATTTTATTAAACAAATCAAATTTTTCGAATTAATAAAATACTTAAGTGTTTAAGCTTTTTTTTAAATAAGGATAAGTTTCTATCAAATGATTGATTATTCTTTTTTATTAAGTTAAATTAATGAAATTTAGTTTGTTCTCCATTATTTTTTAAATATCTTTGATAAATTTAGATTATTAGATCTCTTTTTGATAATTGCTGTCGATTTGTAGCTCAATTTAATGTTAAACAAATTCATTCATTTAATTCAATTTTTCATCTGTTAACTTTTCAAACTCTATTGGCTTTTTCCCTTAAATGAACATGTTTTATGTAGGAATATCTTCTATCAAAGCACTTACTTATTCTAATTTTTATTTAACTTAATTTAAAAATTCGTTTGTGCAAAAGTTAGATTTATTAGAAATCAATTGCATTATTTTTGTAGTAAAATAAGTTGATTTACTCTGATTATCAATATGATCATTCTTATTTAAAATACTATGATTTAAGAAATTTATTTGATCGACAAAAGAGAAGATTTATTCTTTAATCTTATTAGGCAAATCAAAATTAATTAAATATTGCTATTTAACACTCTAATCAAGCAATTATTGTAACTGCTTAATATTTTAATCTTTTTTTTATTCTACTTATGTAATGAAATTTTTTAATTTTTCTTATGTTGGGTCTTATTAAAATGTTTTATCTTCTTTGCACTCATTTATCAATGATCTAAGCTCTAAAATTTGTGATATCTATTGATATTGGTTGATAATTTAGCTTTTTCCAAATGGCAAATCTTGAATTTGATGAATCATTTTTTTTTAACAAAGATCAATTTTTCTGATAATTTCGTCCTTGAGTTCTGTGAAGTAATTAATAACTCTTTATATAATATGCTTTGACTAATCGAACTTAGAAGTTTCCTTAATTAGTTTTTCGATTACTGAGTAATCATTAACAGGTGGCCACTTTTAGACAATGCTATTTTCACCCTATTAGATAATTTGATCAATTAGGATGTAATTTTTTCCTTAAAAGTTTAAATCTTCGTTGATACAATCTGTGCAATAGAACAGATTTTATTCAGCCCCGCTTTTGACTTGATTTACTTGAATAAATTTTAATTTCTTACTTGAATGCTAGGTACAATTGTGAAATTTTTAAGTATGTGTTTAATCCATTTTAAAATAAGCTTGATTTAATTTGTTTCAATTATAAATAAACTATTTAATAATGATACAAAACAATCGAATTTTTTAAAACAAATAAATGAATACAAACATTAAATAAAGATTTATCAATCCATGTAAAAAATAAAATACTTTTATTTTCTTTAAAAAAATAGAATAATATGTTTAATCATCTTAAACAATTAAAGTTTAAATTAAAGTAAGATAATATAAATAGGGAGTAAAATGATTTTACAAGTTGAATCTAGAGTGAAAAAATCAATTTAAACCTTGCTATCAAATTTTGAGGAAACAAACATTAAAAAATACACCCTCCAAGTTTTATGATTATTATTAATAAAAGAACTAAAATATCAAAATACGTTTTTTCCTCCCAATTAATTACGATAATAAAAATTATTGTTAAAAAATCACCAGAAACACTAAATCTTTAATATAAAATAAAGACAAATTACAAAAATATAAATTTAATTTTTATAATTTGAATATTTTAACTTACATAAATTTTGTTTTTATTAGTTTTTGTTTTTTATGTAGTTAATTCATTATTAAATATCCAACTTGCTATTGTAATCAAATCAAATGTTTACCTATTTTTTGTATTTTATCCCGAATTAATTAAGCATTTGAAATATCTGGTGATATTTAGTAAATAAATTAGTTATGTTTGAATAGTTAACTTTATAGCTCTGAAATTCCCATAAGAAACTTGTTGATATTAAATGAAGGATAGTAGGATTTTGTTTTAATTGAGCAATTATATTTTTGAGTGGGGATTAAGCAAACTAATACATAATAACATCAGTATTGTTAAATACTAAGTTATCTTTCTTATTACAAGAGAAAGTAAAGTTACTGTAATTGCCTTCATTGGAATTTTAAAGGATAACTAGAGGATAAAAAATGTTAAGAATTTTGTTTTTTTCTAAATAATGAAAAGCAGCTAAAGTGCTTTTGTTTTTTTATGAGTATTTAAAAAATTTGATGATCTTTTTTTTAATTTACATTTAATTTTAATTAGTTTCTCTGCAATATTACCACACAAACTTTTTTTGTATTTATTCTAATTATTCTTTATTTTAGATGTAACTATACCACTTATTTTCTGAAAAGAACTTTTCTATTTTTCTTTGAACAATAAGCACCAAAAAAGTAGCTAATAAGATTCTGATTGAAATATATCTGAATATTTTGCTATTTTTACAGTCTTTTTCTGTCTGCAAACTCCTTTTATGCAACAACCTCCCTCTGAACATATAACATTCTCGCATTTGTAAAAATATTAATCACTTTACTATTGAGAACAAGCATTTTCATCACATCAATTATATTTGTAGTTCAAAGGTTTGCAACGATCATATTACTATCCAAAATATCATTCGAGTAGTTTATGCTCACCAATATTATAAAATGGAGTTGCCAAATATCTGTTTGGTTAGCGATAATTTTATAGTTTTTCTAGCTATTATTTCGACATTTTAAACACATTGTGTTCTTAATAATTGCCTATTTTAATAAATAATTTTCCTCATATTATTTTTAATTAAATTGTTTATAATACTAATCTTATGTTTAATTTTGGGGGCCTTTAGTAGAATCATTAATATTTGTGCATTATAGACATTAAATTAAACAAAATAGAAAAATAAAAAGAATCAACTTTGGTAAATACCAGCTTTAAATATATATTTTGCCCATAAAATTTATTTATGTTGCTTTATAGTAATATTTTATGTTTGTTTTATTGAGATTGACTTCAAAATATTTGCTTTAAATGCTATGATATTATGTATTGTTTAGATGCTTTATTTGAAATAAATATTATATTGTTATTAACTAAATTTCTATGATCTATCTATCTATTATTTATATATACTTTTACAAATTATAATTTCTATTTCATAAATAGATAAATATAATTTAAAAGATAAAAATCTAGCATAATAAATAAATGTTAATTTATTTTTAAATTATAAAAATATTTTATGTTAAATCTAAAATCACTCATTTTATTTAGAATAAATAAATTTTAGTGACAAACAAATACATGTATAAAATAGAAGTTATTTAGTTGTTGGTTTAAATTTAATGTCTCAATAAAAATATAAATTTTTTATATTAAATAAAATTAAATAAATTATTTTGCATAAAAGATATTATGAACTACTAATATTATATATATAAAACAATTTTAAAATAAATTAGAAAGATTTTTACTCAATCATCAAAATTCTCAACTATTAAAGCCTCTGTTATAATATATAATTTTTACTATTATTTTAATTGTACAAAAAATGATGGTTTTTCTAAACTTTAAAGATTTTATAATTCTTAATTATTGAAAGAAACTATGTAATTATTTTATGGGTAATCTGTTACTTATAGTATTTTTCCATTTAACCAAACTCTTAATTCTATTATTGTAGTTTCATTTTGTTCCAAGTTTTCCCCCTTTAAATAGTTGTTAAATCCAGCACAATTAAGTTTTATTTATTTATTTTGACATTAATATTACACAAATATATTATCATCGCATCCTTCTTAAGTATTTAAATTTTTTTACTCCATAATTCCAATATGAAAATACCTTTGTTTTTTATCTATAGATTTAAATTATAACCTAAAGATATATTTTTTATCTTTTTCTAAAATCATATTTGACATGCAGTTAGCATAATATTCTCTATATTGTCCTGTATATAGTTTTTCATTTATAGATATTTCATACTAATTTAAATTATTTTAAAAAATCTAAATCCTTTAATCGCCATCATTATAAGCACCTTTTAAAAATTATAAATCATTTAAGATGCTTATTTAATTTATAGGAATTAAATCAAAAATAGGAAATTATCTAAAAATTCTATCTAGATTTTACTTTTTAAATTATTTAAGTTCTTTTATATTTTAAATTATATATGTATGACTAGTGTTCATAGAATTTCTGATCTCTTGTTTTTTTTTAATTAAGGAGAAGAGATCATCAATCATCTCTTCATCTATTTAATTAAATAACTCAAATTTTTCTAATTCTTAAATTATTTAAGTATTTTCGTCTTTCTTTAAACATGGATAAGTATCTGTCAAATGATTTATTATTGCTTTTTATGAAGTTTAATTAATGAAATTTAGTTTGTTCTCCATAATTTTTTGAATATCTTTGATAACTTTAGATTATTAGATCTCTCTTTGATAATTGCTATTGCTTTGCAGCTAAATTTAATGTTAAACAAATTCATTAATTTAATTCATTTTTTCATCTGTTAGCAGTTCGAATTCTATTGGCTTTTTCCCTTAAATAAACATGTTTTATGTAGGAATATCTTCTATTAAAGCATTTAGATTTTTTAATTTTTGCCTAACTTAATTCAAAAATTCATTTGAGCAAAAATTAGATTTGTTAGAAATCAATTTCATTATTTTTGTGCAAAAATGAGTTGATTCACTCTGATTATCAGCATGATCATTATTTGAACTATTTAAAATACCGTGATTGAAGAAATTAATTTTATCTATAAAAGAGAAGATTTATTCTTTAATCATATTAGGCAACTCAAAATTAATTAAATATTGCTATTTAACACTCTAATCAAGCAATTATTGTAATTGCTTAGTATTTTAATCTTTTTTTAATTCTACTTCTTTAATAAATTTTTTTAACTTTTCTTATTTTGATTACTATTAAAATGTTTTATCTTCTTTGTACTAATTTATCAATGATCTAAGCTATAAAATTTGTGATATCTATTGATATTGGTTGATTATCTAGCTTTTTCCAAATGGTAAATCTTGAATTTGATTAATCATTTTTTTTTAACAAAAGTCAATTTTTCTGATAATTTCGTCCTTGAGTTCTGTGAAATAATTAGTAACTCTTTAAATAATATGCTAAGATTAATCAAACTTAGAAGTTTCCTTAATCAGTTTTTCGATTACTGAGTAGTCATTAACAGGTGGCCACTTTTAGATGATGCTATTTTCACTCTATTAAATAATTTATTCAATTAGAATGTAATTTTTTGCTTAAAAGTTTAAATCTTCGTTGATACAATCTGTGCAGTAGAACAGATTTTATTCAGCACCGCTATTGACTTGATTTACTTGAATAAATTTTAATTTCCTTTTTGAATGTTAAGTACAATTGTGAAATTTTTAAAACTTTGTTTATTCCATCTTAAAATATGTTTTATATAAATTCTTTATTTGTTTAATTAATTAATTAACTATTTAACAATGATACAAAGCAATAGAATCTTTTAAAACAAAAAAATACAAAAATTGAATAAAGATTTATTTAACTCTTGGAAAAAATAAAATACTTTTATTTTCTTTAAAAAATTGAAAAATATGTATTATTATTTGAAACGATTAAAGTTCAAATTTTTAAAATAAAATATATTTTTGGTCATAAATTTATTTTAGAAAGTTGTAATTAAAGTATTAAATCAATTTAATTTTTTTTTTGAAGGGTGCTTTATAAACTAATAAAATATTCTTTTTTGTTTTTACTAAGAAACAAAAGAAAGACCTTGCTATCAAATTACAGGAAACATTTAAAAATACACCCTCCAAATATTATTAATTTATTAATAAAATAATTAAAATAAAAATATGTTTTTTCTCCTAATTAATTACGATAAAAAAAATTATAGTTAAGAAATTATCAGAAACACTAATTTTTATATCAAATCAAATTACTAAAATATAAATTAGTATTACTTTTTTATAATTTAAATATTTTAACATACAATAAGAATGTTTCTATTGGGTTTTTATTTTTTAAGTAATTAATTCATTATTAAATATCCAACTTGCTATTGTAATAAAACCAGTCTGTATCTATCTATTTTTTGTATTTTGTTGAGAATTAATTCATTATTTGAAATGTTTGGTTATTTTTAGTAATTAAATCAGTTGTGTTTGAATTGTTGATTTTAAAGCTCTGAAATTCCCATAGGAAACTTGTTGATATTAAATGAAGAACTGAGCTAGCTGGTAGGATTTTCTTTTAATTGAGCAATTCTATTTTCGAGAGGGGATTAAGCAAACTGATCCACAATTACATCAGTATTCTTAAATACTAAATTATCTTTCTTATTATCAGAGAAAATAGTGTTACTATAATTGTCTTCATTTGAATTTTAAAGGATACTCCTTTAGCCTTGAGGATAAAAAATATTAAGATTGTTGTTTCTTTCTAAATATTGAAAAGCAGCTAAAGTGCTTTTGTTTTTTTTATGAGTATTTAAAACATTTGATGATCTGTTTTCAATTTATATTTAATTTTAAGTAGTTTTTTCTACAATATTATCACACAAACCATTTTGGTTTTATTCTAATTACTCTTTATTTTAGATGCAGCTATACCACTATTTTTCTGAAAAGAACTTTTCTATTTTTTCTTTGAACAATTAAAGCACCAAAAAAGTAGCCACTAAGATTCCTATTGAAATATATCTGAATATTTTGCTATTTTTACAGTCTTTTTCTGGTCTGCAAACTCCTTTTATGCAGCAACCTCCCTCAGCACACATAAAATTCTCACATTTATAAAAATAACAATCACTTTACTAATCAGGACAAGCTCCATTTTCATCACAGCAATTATATTTGCAGTTAAAAGGTTCGCAATGATCATCTTACTATTCCAAAATATCATTCTAGTAGTTTTATTTTGGCTCACCATTATTCTAATTTGGAGTTACTAAAATTCTGTTTGGTTAGTGATTATTTTATAATTTTTCTTGCTATTATTTCGACATTGTAAACAAATTGTGTTATTAATAATTAGTTTATTTTAATAAATCATTTTCCTCATATTATTTTTCCTTAAATTGTTTGTAATACTAATCTTATGTTTGATTTTGAGGATCTTTAGTAGAATCATTAATATATGTACATCTTAGACATTAAAATAAAAAAAATAGAAAAATAACAAGAATCAGCTTTGGCAAATGCCAGCTTTAATTTTATATTTTGCCCATAAATGTATTTATGTTGCTTAATAGTAATATTTTATGTTTGTTTTATTGAGATTGACTTCAAAATTACTTGCCCTAAATGCTATGATATTATATATTATTTATATGCTTTATTTGAAATAAATATTAAATTGTTATCAACTTAATTTCTATGATCTATCTATTATTTATATATACTTTTACTAATTATAATTTATATTTTATAAATAGATAGATATAATTTTAAAGATAAAAATCTAGCATAATAAATAAATAAATGTTAATTTATTTTTAAATTATTATATATTTTTTTTATTTTAAATCTAAAATCACTCATTTTAGAATAAATAAATATTATTGAAAAATAAATATATGTAAAAAATACAAGTAAATAAGTTATTGGTGGTGAATCTATTAAAATATTAATTTTATCATTTTTAAAGTTTTAAAGATTTTATTTCAAATATTTATTCAACTATTCCTTAAAATAAAAATTAACAGATAAATATGCTGCAAATATTCATTAACTTAACCAAACCAGCAAACTCCAAAACATAAAATGAGTGTATTTTACTCTATTTAAAATGTCTTAAATTGGTTAAAAATTAGTAATATTTTTAATAAAATTACATTATAAATATTTTCATCCAAAAAAAATATTTTTAAAAAATAAATAAAGGCACACTCACTCAGCTATATTTAGTTTTAAAATTAAGGCAAAATTATTATTCTAACAAATAACACAATTAGAATTTATTTAGAAATTAAATGTATTAATTAATATAGATAATAGATATAAACATACGCTATAATAAAATGTCTTATTTTTTATTCTATTGATTATTTATTATTTATTTACAAAGTTTCAGATTAATTTTATTTAATGAATAATATAAATTTTATTAATTTAGCTGTTTTTTCAGGGTTTATTTGAGCTGAATTCTTTTATGAAGTCACTGAAAGATATTTTTGTGAAGTTTAATTTATCAAACCTGTAGAATATGAAGTCGATTACATTTGAGGGTGCTTCAATTTTTTCTTCTTCCAACTTAATTTTAAGCTTTTCAGTTTTTATTTGAATAAATTGAATGAATTATTTATTTATAAAAATAAGAATTACATCATAAATACTGATGAATGAGTCATTATCTCTATCTAACTTATTGAAGAGTTCATTTAGACTTAAAGAATTGTAATTATAATTGTTTCTAGTTGTATAGTTTTGCTTAATCTCAGTTATTTTTATGTGGCTATTTACTATCTGCTAGAAATAAAATTTCAACTTTTACTTCTCTGCTTCGGATAAAAGCTAAATTAATGTTTAAATATTTATAAATTTTTTACTTTAAATTGAGAAATTAATTACATTAATTTTGATATAAGGCTTTTCATTGATCAAAAAGGGATTTAATGGAGTGAATTTTTGAATGAGATCTTCTTTGGAAATAAATCCTCTGGAGTGAATATCAAAGTATTAGAAAATGATCTAACACTCAACTGTGGTGAAAGACTTGAAATTAAGTTCTAGATTTATAAAGTCTTTCAATTCTTAGTAAACGATATTGTTTCTCTTGAATTTATCCATGAACTCAAACAAATTGCTAATATTAAAATTAATTAATCCTAAAAACTCCAATTTTGCATTTTCAACGTTTCTGTCTAATTATGAAATTTGAACTAAATCTTGGAGGAAAACTATGAAATCTTTATTGTATTTATCTTCTTAGGCCTCTACGACTGTAGGATAAGCTGGCAAACCCTTATACTAAGAGCCAAATATTTCGAACTAGTTTTAATGGGAGAGAGTAGAGTTTCTATAGAATTAATTTTATGTGTTTGGCATATAAAAGCTTTGAGCTGTTGAATCCATCATTATTTTCTTTAAAGAACTGTAATTGTTATTAAATTCATTTTAAGAAGGATATTTTGCATATGTTTTAGTGAATTTATTTTAATAATTATTAAATAAATTGTTATTGCTGCTATTGCTAAACTTTTATTCAATGCCAAAAGTTATTTTATTTCCTTAACTTTCATTAAACTTTTAAGCAGATTAAGAAAATTTCTTACTTGCATTATTATCTTCTTGTTACTCTAATAATTCTGCTTGATTTTCATTCAATGCTTTTTACTTTTTAACACTTGTTTGAGCATATCTATCAAATTGAGTCATTTCTTTTTTACTCTTATTGTTTGATAGACTTCTTTTGTTAGCATAAGAAGAATTCAACTGCTAAACATAATCTTCGTTATTAATTTGATCTTAGATTTGTAATTCACTTTATGAGCCGCTTAAATTCTTCCTTGAAAAATGTAGAGAAGTGTCTGTCTTTTTATTGCTAATGTAGTTATACTTTTAAAGGTAAAAATCTGTGTAATCCTAATCTAAATAGCTGTTATTTGTATTCAAACTTTTAGCTCTTGTGCGATCAATATTCTTATCAAACTAAGAACTATATTACATCACAATATATTAACTAAATTCTTCTAAAGTGATTTTGCCTGTTTTATTTTTGTTTATCCTTCTTACAATAAAATAAGCTTGATTCTCAGTTAAAACCGTTCCATTCTTTACCATGAAATTGCGGATGGCATCATCATCTATAAACCCTAATGTCTGCAAATCTATAGCCTTAAAGCAGTTTATAGGAGAAAAGTTTTAATCTGAATCTCTAAGCTCTCCTTTCAGTCTATCTAATTTTTGCAAGCTACTCACTTCGAAATTAATCAACTAGCTTAAAGCATTTTCTACATCAAAGTCAAGCAATTCCTAAAACTCCTGCTTATCCCTCTATGCTACTTCTTCTCTTAGTCTCACATTCATAATAGGGAAAACGCTCTCTAAAAATCTAAAAAAATAAAATTAATCTACTTAATTTCTTAATCAAACAAAAAATAAAAAATATCTCAGCATATTTTTATTCTATTTTTGGTTTAATTAATTGTCAAAAAAAATTAAATCTTTATCATTTAATTTTATTCTAATTTTAATATTTTATTTCATAATGATTATTTCAAAAACTTAGTTTCACAACAATCTTGATATTTAAAAAGAATAAAACAATTTTATGTTCTTTAATTCTTTATTTTAATATTAAATTTAATGCTTATATAAAACAAACAATTATTTTTCTTTCTTTTTTTGACTAAATTGATTGCTTTTTTATGACTAAATCTTGTTTTTGTTAGATTTTTCAGATAATTTATGAAGATTTGTATTTAAATGAATTAATAATTTTATTAAAATGATGAAATGTAATTTATTTACTCTATATATGAAAGGTGGAACGAGTTTTTGAATGATTCGTATTGCTTAATGAGCATAAGACAACTTTCATATGGCTAATTAAATCTGTTTTAATGTAAAAATCTCTGAATGTCTTCTACATAGATATATTTTTTATTAGGATCATTTGCAATACGCTAAAAAGCTGCATAGGGCTCAAATATCTATACTCTGCACAAATCTTCTCTTAAGTACTCTGCCTTTTATTCTAGTATCATTGTTTCAAATAGAAGGTCTCTTAACCTTCTCTGTCCTTCAAACGAAAGCATTATTATGTATTGAAATTGCTTTAAGTAAAACTTTAAACCACCACTAAATTTTAATAAGATTAATAATTAATAATTATCAAATTTATTTTCAACGGAATCTATTTATCTATCAAAATCAATAATTTATTAATAAATTAATTAATTTACTAATAATTAGATTTATTATTAGCAAATTAATAGCCCATCAATCAATTAATTATATTTATTAATTTATTTTTCGCTGATCTTTTAGTCAATCAATATAAAAATATTAAGTAACAAGCAAATAGTTTTTAATATTATGCAAAAATCAAAGCAGTAATAAATATCAAATACAAATATTAAAATACTGAAATGAAAATGTTATTTATTATTCAACTTTTAGAGATACATACATACAGTTAAACCTTAGTTTGTGGTCACCTTAATAATATGGGAAATCGCTTATTTTTGGCAGATTTTTTATTGATATTTTAAATTATTATTGTAAATTTTGTAAATGAGATATTAAATCATTCAGATTATATTATATATTTTTATATTGATTCAATTGATTGTTTAAATTTCTGTTTATTTTTAGCAATAAAGTTAAATTTAAAAAATATTAATTATATTGAATAAGAGTTAAATAATTAATAAATGATTTAGAGAAATTATAAATATTTTATATTTCTTATCATTTTTTTTAAATTTTATATTTTTATTTTGATTAATAGATCTAGTATTGTTTTTTGCTCTTAATGTTAGATATTTATTTATTTTTTTTAAGGATATCTACAAATAACAAACTACTCAAAAAATAAACATAACTAATTGATACACTAATAATGTACTTAGTAAATTAAACTAAAGAATCATTTGGATACTAATGTTAAGTTTATTTTATTTTAATATTTATCATTATAAAATAAACAAAATATAATTGAAAAACTGTCAAATATATTTAATTATTTATCTACTTATTCACAGCATATATCAACTAAATTTAATAATATAAGCTATTTTTATAACTTATTTACTGCATTTAGTTTTAATGACATTCTAGTAGAGGGAGTTATTGGATAATGAGATTGTCTATTTTATTATAAAATAATACAGTAATTAAATATGTTTATTCATAGAATTAAAGGTAGAACAGCTTCCTAGAAAAGAAAATGTCTGATCAAATCAGAAGTTACCAGTTAGAATTCAAGAGATATTAAATTTGATTATTTAAAAATAGATATTAATCAATCATAGCTACAATATAAAGTTTAATTAGTAAAATAAGTTAATTAAAATCAATACAACTAAATAAGTATTTTTATTTACAAATATAAATGGAATAAACTGATAATAGCAACAAACAAACTTAGCAATAAGAAGAAACGAAAGATTATAGAAACTGCTCTTATGAAGAAGTCATGAAAATGATTGAAGAGACAAGATTGAATTGTTAAAGGACAATGCAAATTTGCAACTAATCAATTTAAAGTATTGGAGAATCTATCAAAACGGTCAATGAAGCAAAATAAAATATCGATGGCTTTTTCGATTAGTACAATTAAGCTATGAACAGCTTGTGCGAGAAAATTGCTGGATCATTCTCAGGAATGAGTCGTTGTTTTTTGTAAGTATATCATTCACTTATTTAAACAACTAAATAAATTTTTTAAACATTAAAGAAAAAATGAGAACACTGATAAGGAATTTGAAGATTCAAGATAAATAACAATCTAAGAAGGTGCATAGCTTTTCAAAGACAAGAAAAAAGTTGTTTTTTTAACAGGAGCTGGCATTTCAGTTGCAAGTGGAATTCCAACATTTAGAGGAGTTGGTGCTGCACCTCTATTTGAAAAAGACGGTGTTACCTATTAAAATGAAGAAATTTCTACTTACAATTTTATGAAAAACAAACCAGATATTTTTTGGGAAAGAAATTTGATATTCTTAGGAGGTTAATTGGGAAAGAAGTACAATGTATCTCACTTAAAGATTCAATAATTAGTCAATTAGTATAAATAAATCAAGACATCTTAACTTGGGAAGCAAAATGCTTATCAACCCTAAGCAGTAATTGTGACATAAAATACAGACGGTCTTCATTGCTAGGCATTTAATGAGTTAAATCCCAGAGAAACAAATTACATGAACAAAGATGATCCTCAATATGGATTTTGCCCTGATGTATTTGAAGTTCATGGTAGTAAAACTTTCCTTAGATGTGATAATTAAGAATGCAAAGATTATGATAAAAAGTTTTTGTACCCATAAAAATATAATTCTTACAAAGACTTCATATGCGAAACTTGTAAAACTTAAGCTAGACCAAATGTGTTGTACTTTGATGAATCATATAATGAAAAAAATTATAGGATAAACACTTTGAAAGAATTAACTTCTGATATGGATCTATTGATATCTATAGGAACATAATTAGACACAGGATATGCTGCTTAAACTGTCAGTAGTGCAGTTCAATAAAAGATTCCAGTCATAGAAATATCTTTAACACCAGTCATATAAAAAGGAGGTCTAACTCTGAAAGGAAAAGCAGAAGAAGTTGTACCTCAATTATGTGATTTAGTAATGGAGTTAAATAAATAATATTTGTAAAATAAATAATTACCCACACCACAACAAAAAGTAGCAACTAAATCAATTGCTTAGAAAAGTTAAAACCCACTAAAAGATTAAAATTATAAAAGTAATAGCAGTTTACAATCAACGAATACCAGCAACTCTTCCATTTCTACTAAAGTCTCAACTAATTCTGCTAAACCTGCAGTAAAACCTCTTAATTAAAACCAAGCGAATACTAAAACTAATTAAAAACCATAAGTAAAATAAGTCAGTTCTACAAAGCCAAATGTTAAAATTGGTCTAACCACAAAGGAAAAAAAGTGAAATAAAATAATAAAACTAAATAAATTATCTACAAATTTTAATAATTATTTAATAAGAAATGTAAATAAGTATTAGCTATAAATGAATTGATAAGAAATTTATTGTAAATATAAATATATTAATTAATATTTTAATAATAGTAATAATCTATCCATTTTTAACAAACTAAACTTTATTTTGAAATCTTCTAAATAAATGAGTTTCAAAAAATACAGTAGTTTTTCTTAGATTAATAATTGAAAAATAATTTTTTTTAAATTGGAGGATTTTTTGGCTTAAAAATTATAAAATTTTAATTTAAAAAAAAAAGATTTTAATAAATAAGAAATATGCTGTTTAAAAATAACTTAATTTAATTCAATAAATAATAGATTTTTCTAATTTTATCTAGAAATTCATAATTTTATTTTGTAAAAATATCTTCAAACTACATGTATCAACTAAATTTAATATTATAGCTATTTTTATAATCATTTAGTTTTAATGTAATTAGGTGAGGAGTTATTGGATAACGAGATTGTCTATTTTGTTATAAAATAATGCAGTAATTAAATATGCTTATTCATAGAATTAAAGGTAGAACAGCTTGATAGAAAAGAAAATGTCTAACCAAATCTGAAGTTACCAGTAAAAATTTAAGAGATATTAAAATTGATTATTTAAAAATAGATATTAATCAATCATAGCTTCAATATAAAGTTTAATTAGTAAAATAAGTTAATTAAAATCAATACAACTAAATAAATATTTTTATTTACTAATATAAATGGAATAAACTGATAATAGCAGCAAACAAACTTAGCAATAAGAAGAAACGAAAGATTGTAGAAACTGCTCTTATGAAGAAACCATGAAAACGATTGAAGAGACAAGACTAAATTGTTAAAGGACAATGCAAATTTGCAACTAATCAATATAAACTATTGGAGAATCTATCAAAACAGCCAATGAAGCAAAATAAAATATCGATGGCTTTTTCGATTAGTACAATTAAGCTATGAACAGCTTGAGCGAGAAAATTTCTGGATCGTTCTCAGGAATGAGTCGTTGTTTTTTGTAAGTAAATCATTCGCTTATTTAAACAACTAAATTTTTTTTTTTAACCAAAAAGAAAAAATGAGAACACTGATAAGTAATTTGAAGATTCAAGATAAATAACAGTTAAAGAAGGTGCATAATTTTTCAAAGACAAGAAAAAAGTTGTTTTTTTGACAGGAGCTGGTATTTCAGTAGCAAGTGGAATTCCAACATTCAAAGGAGTTGGTGCTGCACCTCTTTTTGAAAAGGACGGAGTTACTTATCAAAATGAACAAATTTCTACTTATAATTTTATGAAAAACAAACCAGATATTTTTTGGGAAAGAAATTTGATATTCTTAGGAGGTTAATTGGGAAAGAAATACAATGTATCTCACTTAAAGATTCAATAATTAGTCAATTAGTATAAATAAATCAAGACATCTTAACTTGGGAAGCAAAATGCTTATCAACCCTAAGCAGTAATTGTGACATAAAATACAGATGGTCTTCATTGCTAAGCTTTTAATGAGTTAAATCCCAGAGAAACAAATTACATGAACAAAGATGATCCTCAATATGGATTTTGCCCTGATGTCTTTGAAGTTCATGGCAGTAAAACTTTCCTTAGATGTGATAATTAAGAATGCAAAGATTATGACAAAAAGTTTTTGTACCCACAAAAATATGATTCTTACAAAGACTTCATTTGCGAAACTTGTAAAACCTAAGCTAGACCAAATGTATTGTACTTTGATGAATCTTATGATGAAAAAAATTATAGGATAAACACTTTGAATGAATTAACTTCTGACATGGATCTATTGATATCTATAGGAACATAATTAGACACAGGATATGCTGCTTAAACTGTCAGTAATGCAGTTCAATAAAAGATTCCAGTCATAGAAATATCTTTAACACCTGTCATATAAAAAGGAGGTCTAACTCTGAAAGGAAAAGCAGAAGAAGTTGTACCTCAATTATGTGATTTAGTTATGGAATTAAATAAATAATTATTACCCACACAACAAAAAGTAGCAAATAAATCAATTGCTTAGAAAAGTTAAAATCTACTAAAAGATTAAAATAATAAAAGCAATAGCTGTTTATAATCTACAAATACCAGTAAATCTTCCATTTCTAATAAAGTATCAACTAATTCTGCTTAATCTGCAGTAAAAACTCTTAATTAAAACCAAGATAATACCTAAACTAATTAAAAACCATAAGTAAAATAAGTCAGTTTTAGAAAGCCAAATATTAAAGTTGGTCTAAACACAAAGGTAAAAAAGTGAGAAAAAAAAATAATTAAATAAATAACCAATAAATTTTAATAAATATTTAATAAGAATTGTTAATAAGTATTAGCTATAAATGAATTGATAAGAAATTTATAGTAAGTATAAATATATTAATTAATATTGTAATAACAGTAGCAATCTACCAATTTTAACAAACTAAACTTTATTTTTTAATCTCCTAAATATAGCTAAATGCCATTCTAAAATTTAGTGAATTGAGATCACTATTTTTTTGAATGGCTGATATATTTGAATATTACTTATAATAATATTTATTATTTTAATTTATATCAATTTGTATGATTTTTCTATTAAATTTTTAATATTAGCCTTTTTTAAAATAAAAATTATCTAAGTAAAAATTAAAATATTATTTAGAGAAATTAAAAAGAAATATGGTAGGTATAATTTTACATTTAATATTTTTATAAAATACAATTATTAAGTTGAAAATAGTAAATATAGATTTAAAATTACATTAAAAAGTATTTAAAAATAAATTAATTATTGATGAAAATTAGTAAATTAATATGTTAATTAAAATCTAATTTGTCTTTGTTCAGAACATGTCAAAGCATTCTTAGTCAACATCATCAAGCTCTTATTTGTTATCATCATTTTTTTCAATATGAGCTATTTTTTTGTTAATGGCTTTATCTAGCTTTTATTGTTATTAGCAGTGAACATTATACTGAGCTTATTATGAGAAGTTATCTGGTTAAACTTGATTTTTTATAAAGTTACCCCAAAGAGCTTATTATTATTGAGCTTATGGAGCAGAACCAAACAAAGCTTGCTAGGCATTTACTTTATTAGCGTGTTTAGATAAAATATTTATCTATTAATTTTTATTGAAAATTAATTATTTTAAATCATAAAAATAGAATAAATTTACTTAAACTTCTTAGACTGCTTGCTAATATTCATATGTTATTTTCTGCTCTTGAGTGATAATTCTGACCATTTTATCACCTTGCAAGGTTGAGAAGAAGATTTTGCTTTGAATAGGAATAGAATTTCTACCTTTGAAATCATAATTATCTTTTACAGCATATTAATAAGTAATGCTTGAGTTCTCTGTAGCATTTCCTAAATCAGTATGTGGACTTCCTTCTATCATGACTAATCCTTCATGAAGTTGTACAACAATTTCTACTTTAGTAGCAACAAGATCGCTTGAAACCAATTCAACAAAATTAGAATTAAAATCAGCAGGTCCTACTCTAGAAGTTCTACCTCCAGTAGTATCAGATAGCTTACCAAGTACTCTAACATCACTTTCATTACCTCTCATAGTAATTGTATGAATTAAAATTCCTAATGATTTAGCCAATTAACCCATTTTTTCATAAGTTTCATAATCTTTTTTATCTTCTAATTAGCCAATTCCTTCATTAGCAAGTCCATCAGTGCATAAAATAATGCTTGATCCACTTTAAGGACTCTAAGAGGCCAATCCTAAACTAACAGCTAAACCAGGTCCTAGAGCAGTTGAGCCATTAGTCCTAATTTCCTTGTATTTCTGAGGCATGTTATTAACCTAACTAACATTGTTTTTAAATAAATTTTCATAGTGATTCTAGCCTAATTCAAATAACTTGTCAAATTATCCTTCTTTAGAAATAGAAACAGGAGCTGATTGACAATCACCTAAAATAATTTAATGCATTAAAATATCATTAAAATTTTATTTACATTTTTATTTTTTCTATGAAATAAAATTAATTTTCTTTTTTCTAAAAAATCAATTTAATTTTTTTTGTTTTTAATAAATTTAAATCAAAAAATATTTTAAATTATCTAAAAACTCTTTTTTTTTAATTTTTGAAATATTTATTTTTAAAATTATTTTTATTGAAATATTTTTAACTCATTTAAAGTCTATTTTTTAATTAGGTTTTGCGGTTTTAGAAATTTATAATTGGAAATGTCAAATAAATTTATTGATTTAATTAATTAATTTACCTAAAATAGTGACATCTTTAGAAAACAGAACTATTCCTACTTTTCTGTTAGGATATTTTTTCTACATTTCAAGAATTTAAGAATGGATAGCTTTTTCAACGCATGCTTTACGAGACATGTATCTACTTTCACCATCTTAATCTTTGAAGACAGTGCCACTACTCATTGATCCTGAATTATCTAAGCAAAAAATAATTGTTCTTTGGTCATTTAAATCTGCATCTTGATCGTTTTCTATGTTCATAGAGTATTCTTATTACTTTGATTATTTTTATTCTTCTTCTTATTATTAAACTTTGTTTTTCTTTTGTTTTTATATTAAAAATTATTTTAATTAATTAAAAGTTTTTTTTGGTAAAAATGAATTTTAGTTTATAAAATAAAAATGATAATTTTTACTTGATTGCTTTTTTCAAGCATGAAGAAGACATCTTTCTCTTTTGGAATCAAATTATTGTTATATGGAACATTGAGAGGATTTACATAGTCGCAAAATTCGCACTACCAAACTGTTTATCCATCTCTTTATTTGACTATAGACAAGTGATTTAGAGATGCCTGGCAACTGATGCAAAAATTTGGAGTCTATTAAACATAGTTTTTTTAAAGTTTCTTCAGATTTGAGAAGTTAATCTCAATGATATTAGATGTAATCTTCTGATTGACCTAATTTTTATAAATCTTTTTGTCTTCTGAGTTCTTAGGCACATAACAGAATGCGTTAGCTGAGTTCATTTCAAGTAATTCTATAGTTAATTATTCAGTTCTATAAAAGCTATTTTTTAATATTTGATTATAATTTTTATAAAACAGAAAGAGCCATTTAAAGCAATTGACTGATGGAGACACTCTTTATTATTTTATATTAGCGTCACTATCAATATTTGTTTATATTTATTTATAAATTTATTTCTGATAAAATCTAAATTATTCATTTCAATTAAAACCTTAATAAAAATGTAAATTATTTATAAATCTTCTCTATATCATTAATTATTTTTTGGTGTCTATTGTAATTAAATAGATTGATTGATTTATTTATTTATTAACTATTTTATATTTAGATCAATCAATATTAATAAACTTTTAAAAATAACCCCTTTTTTATAAAAGGTTTTAGAATCTTTAAACATTTTTAAAATATTAAGTTCAAGATTATTAAATATTATTATTAAATTTAATGTGTTAATTACTTCGTTTATTTATTATTCAACTTAGATCACTCAATAATAAACTTTTCTAAATACCATAAGGTCTCATTCATTAACAAAGTATACCTAAAAATAAGGCAATTATTGAATAAATGACACTCCTACTACTGTTCTGCCAAAATAACTCCTTATATCAACCAAGAATAATTCCGTCTGGAGAAAAATTATAAGGATAACCCTCAAAATGAGAAGTTTTTCATGTTTCTCCTCACAATCCACATAAATTTTACAGACAAAGGCCATCTACAATACAAATCCAGACATAATATTACACCAGAGTAAAGAGCAAGATACAATTCATCTGTGTAAAATTTCAGGCCCTGTTTAAATTGGGCAACAAGATAGAGAAAGAGGACTATATTTTCAATTGCGATATCAATACATCCAAACTCAAACCTAGTATTACTTCTAAAACTTTATTACTTTCATTCATACTTGTTAATCATTCTTTTTAGATAAAAATTCTTTTGGTATGTAATATTAGTGCTCAAAAATGTTAAAAGATTTTTGAATAAAAGTGTTTTCTGTAAATATTTTTTTTTTTTTCCTTGTGAATTGAAATAGAAAAATCATGTCATATTCTAACATCTAATATTCATAAACTTAATAATTTGCTTGCTTTCATCAATAATTTAAAAGTTGTTAGAATAAAGATTTTTACTAAATATTCTAATAAACCTACCTAAAAAATTTTTTTCAGCATACCCAAGTGATTTATCTTATTCTGAGACTATCAAATTTAGTCATTTAAAACCAAATTGATTTATTAATCATTATAATCTAAATAATAAAAAACCTAAATAAAAAAGTAAATTCCCTCCAAAAAAAAAAAAGAGCTTAAATGGGAAATTCTAATCATTCCATCACATTCTACTAAGAGGATGATATTCATGTAAGGGAGTTATGCTCTCTAGTAAATGATGGGAAAGATATTAGTTTTAAAGATGGATACCTTATTTCACATTTATTAGTAAATGCTACTAAGAAAATCAAAATAGTGACAGTTGTCGGAGAAACTGGTAATGGGAAGTCATCAATTATTGAACTTATCACATCATAATTCACGAAAAAGCCTTATAATATTTTCCATTCTTACGCTGGATCAAGCAATGGAACAATTGGAATTTAATATTTTATTACAAGTCTTGATGAAAATACAGATTTAATTTTATTTGACTGTGAAGGATTTGAGAATGCCTAATAAGATTTATCTGAAAACTATATTGATAAGCTTTATCTCCTGATAGCATAAATCGCTCGTTTGTCAACTATCACTATATATATTTCAACTGACGAAAGAGTGAAGAAGCCTTTTATTAAATTTCTAGAGGCTGTTGATATTGAAGATCGTCATAAATAAGATCGTAATTACTTGAAAAAAAAGGGAATCCTATCTAACTTCATTGAACTATTAAACAAGCAAGGAAACCTAAATGCAACAAAAAGCAAGCATTATCCAATTTTCTAAAAATCTTATTTTATTTCTAAATTTAAAAAGATTGATTATGAAAACGATTATAAAAACAGAAAATATCTCATAGAAATTGATTAAGAGTCACTAGCTTAGCTTCGTGGAATATGTGAAGATATCAAATAAATGAAATTTTCTTCAATCCACTAAAATACAGAAAGCTTTAACAGGGATTAAAGTTGTAGAAGCCTTTATGAAGTATTAATTGGCAGTGTGTAGATCCTCAAAAGTAGAGGGCTCAGTGAAAAAAAGCATTTTGCAGAGATCATCAATCTTCAGTTACATTAAAAGAACTATGTAATTGAATAAGTCAATAAAATGAATAAAGAACAACAACCAATTTTAGAATAAGAAATAAAGGAATTGTTAAATTGTATTCCAAAAGGTAAATACTCCTCCATTTCTATCTTCTAGATTATTTCCTAAGCAAAACAATTTAATACAAAGAGCAAGTTTGCAAGCAAAATAAAAGAGTTAGAAAAATAATGGAGGAAATAATTTGCTTAAGGACTTACTGAAATCTTAAAAATAAATAAAAATGAATAAAATGATAGTGTCTCTGATGAATTGGTAAAGTAATACACTGAGTTAGAAGGTATGAAGCCTATTGAATTTAACTTTCAGGATAGATCTGATAAAATTTCAGGCAAATATATAGGTTTAGGTATGTATGCAATTGGTGGTTCGGCAGTGGTGAGTGGAATGTTTGGCGCCTTAATCGCTGAGAATTCGACATTTGTAGTAGGAACGAGAGGAGTAGCGCTATTTGGAATTGCTGGATTCGTTGTTTCTGGTATTTTGTCAATGTTGGCTGGAATTTGGCTATTCAGGAAACACATAGACAACGAAAAAAAAATTAGTTGCTGGAAGAAAGTACTTAGAAGTGGATTAATCTCTAGCTTAAATTAGCTTCATTTGGGTTGCTAATAAAGTTGTGAACTTAGTGATAACTCGCTTATTCTTTAACATATAATTACAGCTTCAATGGTAGACAGTGATCAATCAAGTACTATTTTTGGCAGATATACTCGCAGATAAACTGATTTGATGATTCCTTTATTCTATTTCAATTTAATCAGTAAATCCCTTAAGGAAAAAAATATTAAATGGATTTAAGAAGATGATAAAACGAAACAAAACTAACAAGCAAAACTTGCAAAATTAGCTCTTGATGAAATTGCATAAATTGCCAGCAGACTACCAGAAATCAATAACTAATAGGAAATCAAGCAAATAATTATTGATGTGCTCAACATTCGCTTTACAAATGAAGAAAAGAATGCCACTAAAGGCAAAAATATAGCTGGATAGTTTAATTTGTAGAGTCACAAGGTTACAAATACTTAAATCACTAGTAAATCACAGAGAATTATAGAGAAATGTGCAAATTCAAGAGTAAATGATCAAAATCTCATCAATATCGTCTCCTCTTTACTTCTACTTAAGCTCTCTGTCTCTGATATCTTCTATAGCATAATATTTTCTTTCTTTTTCCCAATTGAGCTTCTTTAAACAGATAATTTGATTACCCCAGAAGGTATTAAAAACTATTTTGAATTCTAGGATCAGTTATTAAATACCGAAATTAGGAGTTGATTATTGCCTAGGATGCTAGCAACAACCTCATTAAGGCCTCCTAACAAAGTAAACCACGAAAAGAGTTCTATTGTCTATACTTTTTTCAAAACTTTTGGATTATTTTTTTATTGTTATTTGATGTTGATTTACATTATTATTTAAATTTGTTTTATTTAATATCTATGTTTATATCTAGCATACTTTCATGAACTCAATCCATTTTTAGACCCTAAAATACCTCTCTAAATTTAATTTTAAAATACTCATAGCATATTATTTGTCTAAAATAATAAATGAATGATATCATTTGTCTAAAAATACATTATATAATATAAAATAAGTTAAAACTTTTTGTTTTTTAGCTTTTTTCATTATCAATATTTATTATCTTTAATCAATCAATATTTATTTTATAAAACTCAGTCATTTTATTGATGTTTTCAACTTTTATATGTTCATATTATCTATTAGAGATAATTGATTTATTTTTTCTTTTCTTTTTAAGCAATTAATTAATTATACAAGCCACTTACTCATTTCCTAAGTAGAATTTCTAATCAACAGACTTGATATCTTAAAAACTAGTTCTAACGGGTGACTTAAAATGGAATTCCCTTCTATTTTTTTCTTTGGGAGAGGTTTTTAAAGTGATTTGCGCCTTATTATAAGTTGCAATAATTTTTGTTAACCCATTATATAATAGGAAAAATGTCCTCTAGCAATAATTTTTTAAGACTTAATTTTTTTAAAAAAGTCAAGTTAATCATTCTTGCTAATTTTTTCTCTCCAAAATAATTTTAAAATAAATTACATAAACCATTTTTAAATTAAGCAATTTCATCTTATTTTCTCATTTTAGCTAATCCCGAATTTTTTAGAAAATCATTTTACAATTTTTGACTCTATATAAAGTTTAAAAAACAAAAATCTGTATCAGTAAAGCTTCCTCCAAGCATTGAGGGTTATGACCGTGAGGATATAGGAGGTGAAAGAGGGTAGCCCCTATCTTAACGTAAAAAAGTTTTTCAGACAGTGTTTATAAAAATGTCTTTACTCGTTCACCTTCATGGTTTTTTTTTGCATAAATACCCCCTGCTCAAAGGGTTAAATATGTATTTTTCTTTTCTTTACGAATTAGAATATAAAAATCATATATTATTCTAATAACTGGGTTACTAGATTCTACTAATAGTATGATATTAATTTAAGATGCTCTATAGAAAATCAAGGGAAGGATCTTAGTTTTAAGATAGACATCTTCTTTCACTTTTATTAGTAAATGCTACTCAGAAAAATCAAAATAAAGACAGATATCAGAGAGATTAGGCATGGGAAGTTAGCTATGATTAAACTTATAGCATCTAATTCCTGAAAAAATCTTATTGCATTTTCCATTCTTACTCTGGATCAAACATACTATTGGAATTTAATATTTTATTTAAAGTCTTGATGAAAATACAGACTTAGTTTTATTTGACTATGAAAGATTTTAAAGTGCGCCATAAGATGAAACGCTATGAACTTAACTACCAGGCTACTTATAATAAAATATAGATATAAATATCGATTTAAATATGTGTGCATTTGATAGTGAGGTTTTACTTGATGTAGCCATAGTTGTTTCGGGAGTTTTGACAATAGCGGTTGGTATTTGGCTAGTCCTTACAAATAGAAAGTAAGAAGTAAATTTTTATTACTTGAAGGCTATATTTGAATTCTCATAATCAAGTAGGCACGAAACGAGTTCTATTATCTCTAATTTAAAAAAAAGAAAAAACTCATGTATTATATTTTTAGTTGCTGTTTGATGTTGATTTACATTATTATTTGAATTATTTTTATTTAAATATCTACAAATGTGTATGTCTAACATACTTTTATGAACTCAATTTATTTTTTTGACTTAAATCCCTCTAAATTTTAATTTTAAAATATTTATTGCATATATTATTTGTCTAAAATAATAAATGAGTGATATAATTTTTCTAAAAATCATTATAATTAAAGAAATCTCATTCATTTTAAAATCAAATTCACATTCTTTAATTTTTAAAGATTTCATTCATTTTAAAGAGAAAATTTAATACTATAAATTTTCCACATAAACCTATAGAGTTAATTCTTAATTGAATGAATGCATAAATAAATAAAATTGGCTTATGGTGTATGGGAATTCATCTTATGCTTGATTTATTTGATGAGCATGAACATGAATGAACCATTATATCACTATAAATCTTGATGCCATTTTACTTTTAATATTGAATTGATAAAAACATAGCATAAATTAGCTGCTTTCTTTAGGACTAACAAGCATAATCATTAATATATTTTTATGAATTTAGTTAATATTATTTCTTATTTAATAAATGCTAACCCCTATTTATTTATTTTGCAACATAATTAACTATTTTATAATTAATTATCAAGTAATTTTTTCTTCTTCTAAATTTATCTTATTAATTAATATACCACTGTCATGTAAGGAGCAGGGAGTATCTAAATAAATATCCTAATGAAAAGAGTTAGTAGGGGCATAAATACATAAGTTATGGAGGCAAAAGGAATTTTCCCCCCTACTTTGTCACAATTTAAGCTCCTGTTTGTATTTTTCTATGAATTATTTTTTTGTTTAATTTTATCTAAGTTTTAGTTCAAAAGGCTTTATTAGTTATTTTTATTTGTTATTTATGTAATTAGTGTTGATTATAGATTAATATTATGATGAGTATTAGAATTAATACTCTGAAATTAATTTACTTTTAAATTTAAAATAAAAATTTGAATTGGTAATTATTTAATTTTAAGAAAAAATTTTAAAATGTCTGATTTATTTTAAAAAAATAAAATTGCTTGATATTGGAAGTAGCATTTTCAAAAATTATGAAATCAGAAATAAATAAGCTAAATCAACTAAAATGTTCCAGTGATAACTAACAAAAAAATAAGCTTAATTCTAAAATAATTTCATCATTTTACCAAGTTTTAAAAATTGCAATTTTTGATTAAAAAATAAAATATTTTTAATTATACTTAGATTTCAAAATAAAAGCTAACAAATTAAATATATCTTTTTTATTTTTAAAAAATATTAAGCTAATTAAAAAAACTCAAATTGAAAAGAATGAAAACAAAAAGATTACAAATTGGACTTAAAAAAAAAATGAGGGAATAAAAACGAAAATAATATTTTATTTGGGATAAATAAAAATACTCAAGAATAAAAATATTTAAATTTGACGTCTATTAATTAGATAAAAGAAAAAACAAAAGTAGAGTGATTGAGAGTAAATTAAATAGCTTTAATTCTTAGGAATTTAATTAAGGTTGAAGTTTTTAAACAGTTTTTGTTAAAAATTTCAAAGGATTTCATTATAATTTGTATAGTATAATAAAATATTTTTAATTTGAAATTAATTAGATGTCTAAAGTATCAAAATAGATCAGCATTTAACAAGATAATAAGGAATGTTAAGACTTAGATTTGCAAAATTCTATGAGAAACAGCTTCTTAAATTTGTAATAAAGGAGCGCATAAAATAAAAACACAAAAGAAATAAGCTTCCATGTAGAATAAGCGTCTAAAGAGCTTTTAAATCCAGCTTAAAGCTGTGCCATTTAACATATTGATAATAGATTAAATACATTGTAAAGATTGCATTAGAATGAGATTAATGATTGCCCTTATGATAAGTGGCTTAAAGAAATACCAAATCCTACTAAGAATCAGAAAGAGAGTCGTGATTAATAGGTTTTTAAGCAAAGACCTTAAATAAATATTTCATTAGACGAACTCAGCAGGAGCTATCGCTTTTTGTAGAGAACTGTTTTGAAATTCTAAGATGTCTTTATGAGGCAAAATAAATACGCAAAGTAAATTTTAGATATTATGCTTTGGTGAGTGTTTTTTTTTATGAGAAAGGAAAATGAATTAATATAAGCAAAAAAATGATGAACGGAGGGAGAATTAGAATCTAAATATATTAAAAAACATTTAATTGTGAAGGTGACTAAAATATTTATCTTTTATTTTAAAATAGACAAATTAACTTGAGTCTAAAAGAGCACAATATCCCTATTTCTGAAGCAGAGGAGAAGATTTTAGATGATGTGAGAGAATTTATTGAACCTCAAGCAGAATGGGCGAGAGAGGTTTATGGAGATAAATACTTTTATTAGAAGAAAGTAGCGCTGAAGAGCTAAATAAAGAATATTTCAAATTGCTTTGATAAGATGTAAAATCTTGACAATGACAACTCCATATTTTTTGTAGAAGAATTGTAAAATGAGTAGAAAAAAATGGATTATCCTACTCTTTCTTAATTAGCAATTTACTTAAATTGCAAATAGGCGTTAGACACACAATAAGTGTAACTTAACTTCGTACTTATCACTATCGGCTAAACACTGCCTAAGAGCTTTGAAAAATATTACAAAAGATTGTTTTTTAGGTACAATTTTAAGATAACTATTATTCATATTTTAGATATAGAAGAAAAGCAGTTTTAAAACTCTTCGATAATACAAAAGAACATTCAACAAAAACAAAATGAGTAGAATGCTTTCGGGAGCTGCAGTAGTGTGAGTGAAAATGATTTTTTAAATATTGAAAATAGTAATTTATTTAGCAAATCATAAAGTATGAAATTGAGCCAAGCTAAATAGTAAAATTAGTATGCAAGTAACCTCTCATTTAAGAGTTAGCCAATTTTTAGTAATACTCTAAAGAATTAAAATGAGAAAAATATACAAAATTTTAAAGTGTATAATGTGTATTTAAGGAAGAACAAAGACTTTGAGAATGTCAAAGTTTCTTCAGCTGAATTTATTCATTTGATGGAGAGATGTATCTTTCCTTTTTTGAAAAGTATTAAAATAGATATTATGGTATTTGAGTATGATTTTTCATTTAGTGAAGATGTCAATTAAAAAGTGGTACTCAAGACATATGTTTTAGCTTATATAGTACAAAAGTTAAAGGAAATATCAAGGGATAAGTTGCTTATTAGCTATATTATTAGATAATTAAAGACAAGCTATGATTGTTACAATTAAAAAATTAGTTAGTTAAGCCATTTACTAGATCTAAAAAATAACATAAAATAGAAGGTGCTAACAAAAACATAAAAAAATCAAAATGCTCTGTAAACTATGAAAATTTATTTTGAATACAGTCTTTAAATTTAAGATTCTATTCGAAAAACATTGATAGCTCTAGGATAATTAATAAATTATTCCAAATATATTTCATACAAATAAACAGATTTTAATTTTCACCCTTGTTTTTTATACGTCAAGCACATAAAGGAATAATCAAATTAATTTTTATCAAGTCCTCTTTCTTTAATAAAGGATTATATTAAGATAGCGATATATAGGCAAAAATTTACTGAGCGATAATTAGAGGCAAATACAAACAATTAAGAATAGCCAAATTAAATGAAATAACATAAAAAAAAATTAAGCAGAATGGAAAAACATTAAAAAAAAGATTCCAATATATTCGAAAATCTAAATTAAATATAAATAAATTAATTTGAAATATGTAATTAAAAAATTGATCCTAATGAAGAAGAATATGAAAATTTTTCAGATAAAAAATTTGATTTTCCACAATTTGCTACTTTTGGGAAATTTAATCAGAATGACTATTCGATGCAATAAAAAGGGATTTTTATACCCATAGAGAATTAATAAATGCAATCTTAGAATGGTTAATTTAATTTTTAGTTTAATAATAATCACACAATATAATAAAATACTGATTAACTCATAAATAAAAACTCCTTATCATACTAATAAAATTAATAAGACATTTGCAAATAGTTGTAAGTAAATTAAAATTTTATGTAAATAAATTAAAATTTAGATCAGCCAATAAATTAAAACTACATAGGTCAGCGAATAAATTAAAATATCATGAATTACTAATTAAATTAAAATTTTATGGATACGTAAATATATTAAAATTACATGAATCAGCAAATAAATCAAATCCATTCATTAAATATTTATCTCCCAAATAGTGACGAATTTAATTAAAGCTAAACCACACAGGTTTTTAATGGCAATTTTAATTAGATATTTTATAATTAAGATACTGTATCCTTAAAGAATAATGGACATTAAGAAGTACAATGCAATTAATAAAATGTTAATTCAAAAGAAACAATTTTTCCTACATAAAATTAATTAAATGATGATGGCTGTATGGAGACTAGTTCTTCATTTAACCAGAAATCTCCCGCTTATTAGACAATGTAGATAGAGATTCCAAGTTTAAATGAAAATTAAAGTATGAGTACATACTAAAGGTTAATGAGGAAGATACCAATTTAGTAGCTTGCTGAAAAGTGTAACATTGGGTATACCAACTTTCTTCAGCTCAATGATGATCAAAAAAAGCTCAAAATTATCAATCAAATAAAATAAAAATAAGCTGATTACAAGTTAAAAGATTCTATTTATCATATTTTGTGGGAGAAATCCTGCAGACTGGAAGTAGCAAACCCTTCTAAAGATTTTAATTTGAAAATATTTTACTATGACGAACATTCACAATATTTGGTAAATTATCAACAAAATCCTCAACAAACTGATAAGATTTAAGAAACTAAAATGATTGTTTATTTTTTTAATGTAAGAAGCAGGGATTGTTATAACAATTACGTTCTGCAACAAATAACTAATTTCAATGATACCCAATAAAAATTCAACGTTTTCAAATTGAAATATAAAGTACAAACAATTTAGTTTAAAAAAATATCTGATCTTGACACCAAAATAAATGAACAAAATTACCTTAAAGAGCAGTTGCACAATGCCAAACACACAATTAATGTCAGTTAGGCTAAAATTGATGATCTTTAAAAAAATGGTTTGACTGCCTCATAGACAGTAAAGTTAACGTAAATATTATTTGATTAGTTCTAAAATTTGTTTGATCATCATAATAAGATAATTAATTTATTTTTACAGATAAATGAAAAACTTCAATTTATTAATTTTTGCCAATTAATCAATTAAATATTCCTAATTAATTGCTAAGTTTGAATTAATTTTATTTTTTCTTTTTTTGTTTGTTTCATAATTTTTTTTTTGTTTATTTTAGTCCTAGCGATTTGAATAATAGCGCTCTTAGTGATTAGCAAGGAAATCACGAAAATACTGATAGTCAAAACAATTCTACAAAAACAGGTTCTACGAAAGTTGAGGAGAAAAAATTATAGGTAGCTATCAATAATTACAAAAAAATAATAACAGAAATGGTAAAAAAAGTGAGTGAACTAGAAAAAAAGATAGAAGAAATTTAAATAGAAGTGAGGGGAACAACTAAAAAAGACGAAAACAACCCAAGCAATATTTTAAAAATTGAAGGATTAGAAGAGAAAAAAATTGATTTGTCAGCGCTCTGCATCATAGAATCTGCTCTTGTTGAAACAGAAGAATTTATATTTAAATTTTTTGGTAGAGCATTAAACATTCGTCTACTGGAGCCTTTAGTTTTAAAGTAGGAAATAAAGCTAATTATGAAGATAAATAAATTTCATTCTTAATAAAACATCAACCAAACAATAGAAATTGTAGATCCTCAATTCAATTTTGAATAATACAAATAAGTTATGAATGAAATAAAGTAGCAATAATAATAACAACAACAATCAAATTAGTAATAATCAAATTATATTTAAAATCCATAAAGTGTTTTACAGTAATCATAAAGAATGAGTAGACCAGATTAGAGTTTATAAAATTCTGCAGATTCTTAATTAAAGTTGTAACAAAGCTAATAAAAACCATAAATTAAAGAAAATTAATCATCTCAATCTCTTTTGGTTAATTTGAAATAAAGCATTGATAAATAAGGGTAAGAAGATCTTTCTAAAGACAAAATATCTTAATTAAATTCAGTAGCTAATCAGAAAATAATTTAATCTTCCTAATCGACAACAGTAATCAAAAATAATTTAAATTAAAGTTAAGAACAAAAGACCAACTCGCTAACTGATTCAAATCAATAATAATAATAATAACAAAATGCAATTTTGAAATAGCAAATAAATTCAAAACCCTCTTAGAACGCAGAATAGAAGCCATTGATTAGACTTCAGAATAAATAGGAAGCAAACTTAGATAAATCAAGTTAAGCATTACAAAGTTAAAAATAAAAACAATTATAATAGGAACAAAAGAATCAGCAATAACAATCTATTTTAAAAAATGAATAAAATGAGGCTAATAACTTAAGCAAGTCCTCACTCAATTAACAAACTCATGAAAGCATGTTGAGTAGCAAAATAAATTACAATAGTTAGAAAATTTAGGATGAATCCTAGATGAAAATTTACCAAGAAAGCTTTTAAAAAAAGTTTTTTAGAGGTAGATTCGGTGCATCAGCTTTTTATTTTAATAACAAAATCTATATTTTTAATGGCTACAGCTAGCAATTTATGGAGGAAACAAGTATGTTTGTTTTTATACCATAGAAACCAAATAATAACGACTATATCTTAGATCAAAATACTTCTATCTTAAAGGAAACAAGCGATGATAAAGAACAGTTTTCATAACATTAATTACATCAAGAACAAACAACTATGCTTTTCTATTTTGTTATGAAGGTTTCCATAGGAAAAGCTTCAATTAAAGGTGGATATGGAACATTTATGTTGCCTTTATTGAGAAGCGAATCATTATTATAAAAATAGAATCATCAAAAATCAGACACGCCAGGATTAGCCATGAAAGATGAAGCTATTTAAATTTAATAACCAAATAAGAAGCTTATTAGTTAAAATTAAATTGCTGAACTTTCTAAAAAAGTAAAGAATTTATTAGTTTTTTCATTTGAGTCCTACGACTGTTCTTGCGATCTTAAAAAGCAATTCATTAAAATACAGGTTTTTAATCCAATCCAAAAGCAAGTTTTAATGGAAAAAAAAGTTTCCTTATATAATGTCTTTACCATAAATTAAAATGATAATAACAGGTCTTAAAATATTTTTAATTTATTTCAATTCTTTGATTAACCATTTTAAAACATTCTCAATGTCGCCAATAGAAACAACTGTTTAAATGAATTCTATTATGAACTTAATAATGAACTTTTCTTTACCTTTGCAGTTGAAAATTTTAGAGCTTCTAAGCTATTCTTGCAACTTCAAATCAATATTACTTAAATTTCAAAATATTTCTCAGAATAACCAAAATCACCAGAATCCCAACTAGAAGCCAGCATCCAAATCCAAATAATTAACTCTTGAATAATATAAAACATATTTTTTAACAAAATTTAATTTTCTTATGCAAAATAATTTTTAGATAAACAAATATTTAACCATCTGTAAGTATATCTATCTATTTATCTATTTAAGAGCGATTTTCTTATGTTTTTTAATTAACACTATTTTTCAATGTAAATTGAAAAAAAAAATTCACTTCTTACATTTTTATTTATCTTTTTTCTATTAAGAACTTCTTTTATTGAATAAATATCCTTTATGTTATCCAATATTGAGCAAATTTTTAGGCTTTAATTTGTTATTCATTTTATCTCATTTATTATATTTATCAATTCATATAAATTAAATATTTATTAATTAAAAAATTACAAATATTTCATCTTATAAAGCAAATATTTTTATCAATTATTTTAGATACCAAATATCTTCTTTTAGAAAACGCTTAAATAAACCTATCAGAAATATAAATTAATAAAAAAAATCATATTTGAAATAATTAAAAATGATTTAGATTTTTAAATGAATTTATTTAGTATTTATGATGCTGTTTTATTATAAAAATATTTATTGCCTTAAGATTTCTATATTTTATTTTTTATCTTATAATTTTTATATTATCAATTACTTTAGGATAAATTGATACTAATTATTTTTCTTTAATTCAGTCAATCTAATATAAAGTTTTTAAAACTGAAAATAGTTAATAAATTAATTAATTTTATCTAGAAATAATAAAAATTAATTTAGATATACTCATCTATATTTATTATTTAAAATTTTATATGTGTTAGAGTAATAATAAATTAAAATATTTGAAAATAATATAATAATTAACAAAACATAATTTATCTTGTATGAATGATTATTTTATTTTAAGAATAGTATATAGTGCTTTGACTTTGTGCTTTAGAAAATCAAACTAAATAAAGAATAAATAATTTTTGTAAAAAAATAGTACTGCTTAATATATTTAATCATAGATAATATATTAAAAATAGTAAATATGTTAATGGAAATTTGATACAAATAATTTTATAAAAAAAGATAAATTAAAAGTAAAGTTGGCTTATTTTAAACATCAATTAAATCCTATTCAAAAAAAAGCATAAAAAATTTTTAATGATTTTTTAACTTATTTTTAAAATTATAAGTGACATAAGTTAAATATTAATTCTTAAATTAAATTTGGATATTTAAATTAAAAACCTTGCTTTAATACAAATATTTAAATGAGATAAACATTGATATAATAATAGGAATAATAAAATTTTTGAAATAAATGAACAGATTAAATTGGCAATTATTGACTGACTCAATTAATTCCTCTTATTTCTTATTTTATTTAAGAAATATGTAGCTCCTATAAAATGATTAATACATTAAATATATACATTTTGCATTACAATATTTTGAAAGCATTTGTGTATATATAAAAATATATTCATTAAAATTCAGATCATGTTAATTTCTATCAATTTAATCAATAAAGCTTATTAATCTTAAATAATAAGATAAATTTGGTGGTAGCGTATCTAAGAATAAAGATAATCTTATATAAACCAAATTGCAAAATATCCATCTACATTTTTAAATTTATATTTTTTAAGATGGATATATGAATGATATATCATATATATTCATCTTTTTATTAGTAATTTTATTTAATTTAAAGAGTTTGCTTCAAATTTAATTTATTAATTTTACAAATTTTAAATTATAAATTCTCAATAAAAATAAATGGAAAAAAAATGAAACTGTAAACTATCTCAAATACTAAAATATATATTTTTTAGTATATTGGTGATTTTGAAGTGATATAATATGATTACCTTATTGGATAGATTATTTGGAAATTTCTCCATTTTTTGCAACTCTTAAACCTGGAAAAAAGACAAGTGACAAGGAGTGAGGAGTAAAATTTAAATAGCTTTTTTATTATTTTTTTTTTTTGTATCTTGTGTAAATGTAATTTGATTTGGTGAATTTTAAAAAAATATGATTTAATTTTTCAATAAAAATATTGGTTTTATGCGCAAATTTATACAAAAAGTATTCAGCTCACTCAAAAAGGAATTAATGTTTGGTTATATAAATATACTATTCTTATCTTGCTAAATATTTAATTGAATTAAGAAAAACATTTATTATTAATTGTTTTATAGTTAACTTATAAATTCAAAAATGCTAGTTTCATATCACTCCACCACCTGCCTCCAGAAGTTATTTTTTAAATTTTTCTTCAAGCTCCTAATTTATTTAAAATTTATTAAAAATTTTTTGTGTAAGTTTATATTTTTACCATTTATTGATATATTTTAGGATCAACATTCAATTCGTGTTACTTAAAATTAGCTCCACTAACAAGGACAATCTCTTCATTCCTAATTATTTAAATTAAAAATTAATTTCATCAATTATCTAAAATAATTTATCATTTACTGAGTTAAAATCCTTAACAATTTGGTAAACATTTTTTCTAAGTTGTAATTAGAAATGGCAGAAATATCAAAATAATTTTTTAGTTCATCTATTTTTTATTCTTTCAAATGCTACTTAGAAATTGTTCTCTAAAATGAGTCTATTTTATTTCCAGCCACTATTATTGGTAATTCCTCTCTTTACTACTTTATTTCATCCAATATTTTCATACTCTCATGCAAAGACTTTATTGAAGTATGATCAAATAAAATGATAGCAATTTAAATATTCATCCTAAAAATTATATAAATTCATAAATACTCAAAAAAAGACATTAATTTCTCATAATAGTTTGTTTTATTTATTTCTACTAAATAATTTAATCAATAAAAGCTCATAAATTTATAGTTTTATAATAGAAATTAGTTCATAAAAACCATAAAATTTAATTATTGATTTATTTAAAAGTTTTAAAAATAATAGAAATTTTATTATTATTTTACATTTGCTATTTATAAGTATTTAAGTTTTTTTCGTCGAAGACATATTATTTATCTGGAAATTCAATGCTTTTAATATCAAAATTTCCATAGTTCGTTTGAATCTAAAATCTTTTAAAAGTTAAAACTCCAGAATCTAAAAAAATAAAGAAATAAAGTGATTAAAATGATTTCTATTTTAAATTAGTTTTTCAATCTAAATTTTAAGTTAAATCAAACCATAAAAAAATAAATAATAATACCTTCTTCTATCAATAATTTATAGCCCTTAAATCTATTAATGAGAGTAGACTTTCCACTTTATTCGAATCCAAACACTCCTAAAGTGAATGACTGCTTAATTAACTCTTAAGATGACTTGTTTTCCTAAAAGCTACTAAATGATTATAGATTTTTATTATTAATATCGCTCAAGCTAGTTGCCATAATTTATTATTATTATCCTCTAATTCTTAATTAATAGAGTATCTTAATACTAATTTTTGATGCAAAATACTATATTTAATTATCAAAACCATAAAATAGCTTTAAAATTAAAAGAAATTTTTGATTAGAATTAATTAACTAAAATATAATTTTCATTTAGATCATTTAACATGTATCATAAATCTACTTTACAACTAAAAAAATAATTTAATTCTATTTCAATATAAAAATTAAAAATATAATAAAAAAAAATATTTTGTTTAAATCATAATAATAATTTAATAATAATAATAATAAAATAAACTTAAGAAATAAATTTGCTTATTTTAGATGCTTAGTTTTTAATATAAACGGGTTTGATTTTTATAAATTTAAAAACTCATTTACTTATTGGAATAAATACATTTTTAAAAATAAAATATCTCAGTTAAAATATTTTAATAAATATAAAAAAATAATCTTTTGAAGTAATAAATTTGTTTAATTTAAATAAGAATTAATTAATTTATCTAAAAATGCTATAACCCAACACATAAAGAAAGCAAAAAACAATTTATATATTTTAGCACTTTAAGTTAAATTAAAAACTTTTAATTTGGTTATTTCTTTTTTATTTGCTTAGTGGTTAAGCTTTTAGAGCAAAGTTGTTAAAATTTTTTTAGCAACTTTTTTCTTTTTTTTGTAGAGAAATTTATCAAAAAATTTCTTGCATTTTTATTAAACCAAAAATATTCAATTTTCAATGGAAAATTAATATCTTCTTATTAATTTCATAGCATTTTCAAGGTATTTTTATTCTAAAAAATATTATTAATAAATTTTCTTAATCAAAGGAGATTTTTCTGATAAGAAATTATGAAAACAATTCAATCATAAGTTAAATAAGACGTCTTTAAAAAAGCAACCAATTTTGTTCAAACTGATGAAAATATTATTGATATGCATTCGAGTAGTGGGTCTTTTTAGTTTTGAGGGATGTTCTTCTTTTCGTAGAAAGTTTTTAGGATGTAACCTACTATTGGGAGGGCTTGTGGGTTTAAATGGTAGTATACACCTGCTGATTGTATATCTTACACATTATAAATTTCGTAGTTTGTATTAAAGCAGAAGGAGAAAAGATCGTGAAGGAAGGGAATACAACTTATTATTTGTTGGTCTGTTATTCCTCTAGGTAAGTGAGCTGTTTTTAATTGATTAATCATTTCTTGTTTGATTTGCTACAGCTCATTATCTAAATTCTTCAAAATACTTTAGAAAGCAGCTTGGTTATGTATTTCAAGCTTGCATTAAATTATAAAGAATTTGTAATCAAATTCTGCAACTGGTAAATATTCAGTTAAAGGAATGTTCTTTTTCAAGAATTCCTTCAAGTTATCAAAGAAGCGGCGATTAGGAGCAACTTTGAGTTACTTTTTAATGTAACGAGAATACTCTGTCAAATAAGTAGATGAATACAGAGTTTGTAATGTTTTTTTGATGAAATCAATTGAGTTTTCTTCAGAGGGATCTAAGAAGAAACCACTGATTTCGCTATTTTCGTGGAATTTTTGGACTAAATTATCAATTAAGAAGGCATTTTCATGATCTAAATATGAATCAAATAAATAACAGCGATAATTAACAAATTGCTCAATTATTCTCAAGGCGACTTGGATTTCAACTTTGTTTTCTGTCATTGCTTAGAGTCCAATTTTTTTTAAGAAAAAGTATTTTGCTGGATCTATTTAGTATTTATATCTGATTTCATGTGAATACAGCTTGATTTAATCTTCTTTATCATGAATAAAATTAATAACTCCATTCAATACGTACTCCACTTGAGCAGCAGTAAACTGCCCTATTAAGCTGTATTCGAGGTAAAGAATTTCAAAACATTTCATGACAATGTTTCTCAAATTGGAAATATTTCCAACTTTTTCAATAACTGTTTTAGGAATTACTTTAAGCATATTTTCCTAAAACGCTTGATGGAATCGTTCTATGTATGACTCAGACATTTTAATTTCTTTAAGTTTGTCCATAAAAATAGAGAGGACTTTCTCTAAAATGGTGTAGTTAATTGCAATTGTGCTAAGCTCGTCTTTTACGAATTCGTAATCGATGTTGCCAACACAAAGGCTAAAGAATTTGATTATGTAATAGATAAAATGGGATTTGTCATTCTTTCAGGTGAGACTAACAAGTATTCTCAATTCCATGTCTAACTTAAGCATATCTCTTAAGTGATTTCTCATGAATTCAACCAAGACTCCTGGCTTTGTGTCATCACCTTCCAGCATAGAATGAAGTGTCTTTTTATTTTATTCAGCTTAATCCTAATCTTAAAAGCTTTTAATATTTTAATCATCTTTATTCTCTTCATCAGGTAATTTGTTAAAGCTCGTTCTAGAAGCTGAGAAAATCGATGTCATGCTATTATTGTTCTTAGGAGTTACTTTAAATATCTCAGATAATCTCTTAGACCCTCTTCTCTCATCGATAATGTTAGAGTTTCCTTCTTCCCTATTGCTGTTTTGAATATACTTTTTTTTATCTGGTACAGTTAATTACTGTTAGCTTATTGAACCTCTACCCATAGGAAGATTAGAAATTGAAAGACCTCCTATTTTATTAGTAGAAACTGTCTTTATGATTGATTTTTTAGGAGAAATCTAACTATTGTTGCTAGCACTCAACTAAGAATTTATGAGATGTTCTCCCAGTTTCAAGCTAAAATTAGCCAACTTCCTATTAGAATGTTATTTCTCTAAACCACCTTGAGCTAATTATGAATTAGACATCTGCGATGATTACTTCTCTAAAGAATTAGGAGTGTTTAAAATATATTTCTATTAGCTATGGTGAGAACTGCTTGACTAAAATCCATTTGATGCATTGAACTAGCTAATTTATAAATTTCCACTTTATTGCAATTCTTCAGCATTGCAAGCAGTACTTCCTAACACTTTTCTTGGAGAACTTAAAAGCTGCTACGAATGTTAAGGAGTCTTAATATTCTTAGAAGAGTTTAATGTTAGCTTAGGCATAGATAGCTTTTCTAAGTAATTAGATTTCTAAACTTTTAGTTAATTTTTTGTTATGAAATTATTTAGCTTCCATCTATCACTACTACCTGAATTTTGTAATTATTAAAATTAATTTTATATACTAGCAATTTATGGATTCACAAATTCTTGATTTTCTTGAGAAGTTTTTGGTCTCTTTACATCATCAGGATTAAGTGAGTCGCTTTAAAGCACGTACTTATTGCTATCATTTCTATAAAGTTACATTTTATTAGTGATATTATTATTATTTGATTGAGTTGAATTAGATTGCCTTAAAGTCTAGATATCAAACATATCTGAATTTGATGGACTATTTCTATTTTTATCAACATAAACTACCTGGCTAATTCTTAATTCTTCTCCGTTCTACTAAAAGCTAGATTAATCTTTCCTGGAAGTGTTGTTAATGTTTTCTTCTGTGTTGATCTTAATCTAAGGATAAGGAATATTTTGCAATGTTCTTGATAATCTATGAGGAATTTAATATATATCTCTTTCTTAGTATATCTGTCCATGGTTAACCAAACGAGGCGAAGCTTCTAAATTTTTATATTAATTTTTATTTAATTTACTTCAAATAAGATAAATATATTATTTAATTTTAGATAATCGTTTAAAACTTGCTAAATTTAAAAACATTATTCTCCAAATTTAAATCTTAAATATTAAATAGGGTAAAAATAAACATTTTTTAATTTAAAAGTATTTCCATAAACAGAAAATAAATTAATTTCTCTCTTTATTTTAAAATTTTTTATAGTAAATTACCTTGGTCAATTTCGTTTGAGATATAATTTAAAGTAGAGTGCCTTGCTGTTGTTCTTTTAAAATTATCTTGTTATTATTTGGAGGTTATATCACCTTCTTAAAAGTCGTTTAATTTAATTTCATTCTAATCATCATAAGCTAGTTTGTTGAAATCTTCAAAGCTGGATTAATTTTATGCTAGCTCAATTAAGGATATTTTTTTTCTTGGAGACCTTTTAACTTGCAAGCTTTATCTAGATTAATAGAGCGAATTATATGTAGTTTTATTTTACAAATCTGGATTCTGACCTGCTTAATTAAATTATCCACTCAAGCCTATTAAATGAGGTGATGTGCTTTTGTAGCCGTTGAAATTAGACATTTAACTACTTCCCTTTGAAAACTTAGAGCTGTTTTATAAAGAGCCTATATTGATAAATTTATTTTTATTTTATGCTTATTATTCTGTAGATTGAGCAAGACTCATTCCTTTTGGTGTGTTATTGTTATTATTATTATTATTTCCAAAAGAGGAAACTCTTAACTGCTATTCAACTTATTCAATTTAATTAAAATCGTTATAACCCATTTATGCCATAATACTCCTTTACTACAATTACTAAAGATATATTTTATTAGGAGAAAAGCTTGTTGAACATCTCATGGACAAAGATAGGGCATGGGTTTTTTTATTTTTTTAAAGTGGCAATGATTGCTTATGCTTTGCAGCTGGATTTTAGCTGCCGAAGATGTTAAAATATTCTTGCTTTCCCTATTTGGATTATAATTTTTTTTAAACATACTTTTCATATGAAGTCTAACTATTAATTATTTAGAATTCATCTAATGAATTTTGTAAATGCCCAAGTGTGTTTGCTTTTTCTAATTATACTTTGTAAGTCTGATAAGAAACCCTAGGAGTAGCCATTTTTTAAAGCAGAGCCTAAACTCTACCTTATTTTAATTCAGAATGGGTTTGATAAAATTCAGATAAAAAACCCTCTTTAGAAGCGAAATTATATTTTTATTGAGACTACCAAAGAGGTGTCTAGGCTTTCTCATTCGAAAAACCTTTTCTCTCGTTGACCAAAGTCCCAAAGCTTTATTTTTTTTCTATTTTTGATGAATTAAATATTTATCGCTATTAAATAGTTGTCCCTTTCGGGGTTTAAGACAATGAATTTTTTTATGAATTAAGACTCATAAAATGGCTAAATACGTTATAAGTAATTCTTCTGTTAACTTAAAATGCTACCCTAAAAATATTTTTTTTATTATCTAAAGAAACTTTATTATTTTAAGAAGAAGTAAAGTCTGAATTGGCTTTTCTTTCTTTTGGTTACTTGATTAATTATCAACTATTTAAATGTATCTATTTTATATGCTTATTTGCTGGCTTTTGATTATTCTATTTGGTAGTAATTTTATTTATTTATTATTTTTTTTTTTTGATTGCTTTCTTGCTTCCCTATTAACTTTCAAAAGTATATTTCAGGCTCAATTGATCAAAACTTCTTTATTGCACAAAATTTAATAAATATATAATCAAATAAAAGAAATTCAACTTTACAATAAATTCCTCTTGGTATGTAGGTATATAAATAGGGATATATTATTATTCAAACGCACCTAAATTTAAAATTATCTTATTTAAAATAGAAGAAATATATACACATATACATGATTTAATATTTATTGATTTATTTACAAATTTATGCTTTTTTTGTTTTCTGAATTTTCCGAAGTCTTTTGTTGTTCTCCATATAGTAAGATTTATAATAATAAAAGTGTAACTTTCTAATTAATTTAAAATTCATGTAAAAAATACTTAGATTAAGTTTCATAATAATTATTTTAATATTCTTTTACACAATTATTTATTCCAAAAATGTTTATCAAAAATAAAACATAACTGTTACATATTTTAAAAATCATATTAAAGCAAATAAAAAAATTAATTTATCATTATTTTTGTATAATTTTACATTATACTGATAAATTCGACTTAATGTAATTAAATTAATAACTATCTGAAAAAAGAAAAAAATAATTTTTTTGATAAAAATAACTATTTTAAATGTGTTAAAAGAACGACTCTCTTTATTAAAAATTTGAAGTATTTTTGAGCAGCATCTTCATAATTAATTAGTATGAAATTGCATTAATTACTTCATCAACAATTTCTAAATATCTGAAAATAGAAAATATTAATAATTTAAAAAAAAAAATACTATATAACCTCTAAACCTCTTACTTACCCTGCCAATACAGCATTTTGTACAGAGGTATATTTATTTTTGATCTATTTTTCAAAATTTTGAAGCTTAATATATTAGGCCCTTAATTAATGAGGAAATTCAGTATATTTATTTATTTTATCTATCATTTGTAAATTCCTGAAGGTTTTTTAAAAATTATAAGGAATTTTTCAAAAAATTCCCAACCCTCATTCCAATACAGATTATAATCATTAAACTGCTAAAAATACATTTAGTATTTACTAGTATTTTAAATTAAAGTTTTAACAGATTGAAATTGAATGATAATTTATTTGTTGTTGATTGATTTATATTTATTTATTCTTGATTGAAGTAATTATTAAATAAATAAATAATTCTTATCATTTATAATTTATCTAAAATATATTTTAAATAAATATTTTAAATAAATAATTTATCTTAATATTTTAATTATCATATTCGATTTATATGTAACAAGAATGACTTTCACTTTTTATCATACATGAAAGCTTCTTTTAATTAATAAGCATTCAAGCAAAATAAAAAATAATATTAATATTTTTAAACTTATTTTTGGAATTAATTAATTCATTCATTCATTCATCAAGCAACAATCTAAATTTAGTAACTAACTAATCTCTTCATCTTAGTTATTTTTTTGTGTAACTATAATCCCTTTACGTTCATAAGTTTATTCTCACTATTAAAATGTTAAAAAGAAAAGATATAAAATTATAATTCAATATTTTTTCATAAAAGTATAAGAAATAAATAAATTAAAAATATTAATATATTTTTACATAAGACAGAGTACAAAATTTTATATTCTATTGCATTTTTTTAAAGCAATGCATAGATTTCGTAAACCAAGATCATCAATTGAGTTTGTACTTTTTAAATTTAAAAAAATGTAATTTTATAAGATTAAAATAAAGTAATAACAAATTATTTTTCATAAAAATTAACTTTAAATAAATTAAACAACCCAGCAATCAAGAACAATATAAAAATAATATAAAAAATATAAATTAACTAAAATAATATTTGGTTGATGTTTCTTAATAATCAATAGCTATATGATAAAATGATTAATTTAAAAAAAATAAATAATTTACTAGAGATAAAGCATCAATTATTTTAATTTACTGCATTTTACAAAGCTCTAAACTAAATCTATAGCTCCTTAGTTACCAATTTTGCAACACCTTAAATTAGGTAAAGTTTATTTTTTTAATTAAATAAGTTAAATAAATTAAAATATAAATGAAAGAAATATTTTATTGATTTTTAAATTAAATTAACAAATTTTAAAACATAAAAGATAAGCAAGAAATAAAAATTAAAAAACATAAATAGGTCAGTTAATTATTTTACCCAAGGTCAAGTTTCAAATTTTAGAGGTTCTACATGTTTTATAGAGCAGACCCAAGAATTTAAGCTCCTTTATCCTAAAGGAAATTATTTCTTTTAAAATATGAATATTTTATTTAAACAAAAAAATAAATAAAAATCTAAATCTCATTAAAGTGAGTATAAATCTAAATAAATTATATTTAATTATTTTTAAATTAAAAAATAATAGCATTAATTCATTCAATTATTTGTTTTTTTTTTTAATAAATCAATAAGAGAGATTTTCTTTTAAAAAATCTTACTATAGATAAAGTGTCAAAATTGATAAACGAGCACATTTTGATAAAGCAAAAGCTAAATTTTCTATACCATTAGCTCCAAAATTATTAGATCTTTTCAAAAATTAATTATAAGATGTAAATCAACAAATAGAAAAAAAATTAATAAAAGTATTTTTTTTTCTTCAATTTATTTAAATAAAAAAAACTAAAAATTTAACAAATTATTAAATTTCTTTAATCAGTTTTCAAAACAATGGAAAAAAATTAATAATTTACTAGAGCTATAATGTCAGATTTTAGAGATTAGGACACCTAGACAAAGAATTACCTATATTGTATACTCCTATATCACATAATTTATTTTAGCTTTTGGAATAAAATAAAATATTTTTTAAATTCTTTATAAAGTGAGAATAAAATTAAAAGCTGTTAATTATGTAAATTATAATAATGCTGGCTGATGCATCAAATTTTGCAATTATCGAACAAATTTTATGAAAAAATTTTTAAAATAGCGATATTTATTTTATTTTTTCTCATACATTGATTTAATTTGGGTAAGTAATATAGAAATTTTTGAGATGGTCGAAACCTCATATTTTATTTTTAAAAATATGTATAGATCGATATAAAAATAATTCTAATTTTAATAGATAATAAAAAATAATAAAATCAAATGATATGTTGGTTTGTTAGTTTTGAGAATAAAATAAACAATTAAAAAATATTATTTACCTAAGGAATAGTATTAAGACTGAAAGATTTGGGCAGTTCTATAAGCCTAAGCCTAAATATGATGCACCCATTGCATTAATTTCATTTCCTCTTTTAGAATATTTTTTAACATTATTAATTAAAATAATTATAAAAATTAGATTAAAATTTAAATTGGAATAGGATAAATTAATTTTAAAAAATAAATAATTTAATAATAAAAAAATTATTTACGAAAGGTAAAGAGCTAAATTTTAGAGCTTTTAACAACTTTCTAACGCTTTGCCTAATATTTATGAAGACTCTTCATTTAAATTTGAGTAACTTGTAATGTTTTGTAATTGTATTTTATTAAAAAAAATTTAATATTTTCATTAATTTAATAAACAAGTTAAAATTTTTCTTATTTCATAACAAGAAAAAAGATTAAGCATTAAATATTGTATTTGATAAAAATTACGTTAAGTCTATCTCAACATCAGTAAGAGAAGATAGAGATGATACTACAAACTTTTTTTTAAAAAAAATTAAAATATAACAATTATATTTTAATAAATTAAAGTAAAATACCTATTTTAGATGAATAAAATTTAGTTTTTTCAACATTTTTTTTATTCACTTACTTAATAACGAGTTTTATGAAATTGAATTAATTATAAAATTTCAATTTAGTATTTTATTTTTTCATTAGATAAATTGTAAATAAATAAATTAATCAAATCCTCAAATATTTTTCATAAGAAAAATATTGAATGAAATAGATAAGAAAGTTTTACTATTCTCCAAAGTAATTAAAATACAAAAAATTTTTTTTTTATCAGAAAAATTTTTATCATAAAAATAATTAATTTAAGAAATAAAACAATTTTATCTCCCTAATTAAATGAAATTGATAAGAAAAATTTAGGTGTTATTGAAATAGATACAGTATTTCCTTTTTATTTTGGTCATACCAATAATCGAAGGTAAGTCAGAATTTCTTAAAAATAAAATTTGAAATAATATATACCTTATTAGAGTTGCGAAATTTAAAAAATAAGAATATTTACAATATAAATTTTTATAAAATCAATGAATAATATTAATTTTTGTATGTAAAAGTTTAATTAGCTTTTAAGTGTTCATTTTTTCTTTCGTAAATTAGGGAATCTTTTGTTTGTCTTTAAAATTTATTCAATGTCAGCTAATTAATAAAAAGTAAAATGTAAAAAAATAATTATTAATTAAATAAATAATAAATTCTACTCAATTCTAATTCCCTAGGAAAATCCATATTTAAGTTAGTGATTTAGGTGCATGAAATATCTTATTATTTTGGAAAATTATGCTTATAAATTTATTTGGAAATCTTGAAGTATGTCATTATCGATGCAATTATATTCAGAGTTTGCCATATAAATAGCTATATCAATATTAATATGTCTTGCAAAGTAACCTCACCATAAACTAAATTAGTAGTATTTTATTATTACTATTATTGATTCAAGAATATAGTGGTAATAGTTAGTATTAATAAGAAAAGTATTTCTGATGCTATTGCGTGAAGTCTCTAAATTAATTAGACAAATATTTTTAAATAAATCAATAAAATTGTAAAGAATAAACCTAAAAGAATTAGGCTTATCAATCCGTAATAGTTATTATAAAATTTATAAAGTAGAATTACAGCTCCAATTTTTCTAATTTCAAGTAAAAACCAAATATAGTAATTTATCTTTGCCTTTTAATTAATATCTTATATAATTGATAGATGTTTATTAGAAAACTTATTTTAGTCTTAATATGGATTTTAATAAACTTTAATTTGATACGTTAAAATTAGCAAATAAATAAGATGGAGTGCGATAGCAGATGACATAAGATAGATGTAAACTTATTAATGAGAGCTTGAATCCTCATTATTATTATGAGAAAATAAGTAAATTACTACTGAAAACATTCCAAATGTTGTAAAGAATCTACCAGCTAACACTAAGATATTGCTCATTAATACTTCTAAAATTCTAAATTTAAAAATTCTAGTAATTATTTCTTATAAAAAAGTCAAGACTATTAGAGATCCTAATATTATAGAGACTACAATAATATTCAAATTCAATTAATCATATTCTCTTTCAGAATCAACTTAATCAATAATATAAAAATTATACATACTGTAGCTTTGCATTATTTCTTGTTTTAAATTTTTACCTTTTGCGCTTTGCATCAAACTTAAAATTCCTATTTGTTATTGTAACAAAATGGAATAACTCAAGAATGATTAAACAGGTAAAAAAACTAAAGGCAATTACATGTAATACGATACTTGGAAATACTTTTTTAAAAAATCAGCTAGAGTCTCACTTACAGGACTTGGAATCATTTCACAATATTTTTTGCCTGTTTCTTAATAACCCTCAATGCAATCACATGAGTTTGTTTATATGTTGAGTTATCGAGTTGAAGATATGCAAGAAGTGCATGAATCAGAGAAAATAGGTCTTTTACAAGTAGAGCAACTCTAATGACATGGGAGCATTTCATCATATTTCAGACAAGTTGTACTATTCAAACAGTGCTAACAATATTAAGGACATTCTCCAATGCATTAGTTATCAGATAGAGCATATTTTCCACTTTTAATATTAAATTTAATATATTTTTTCCAAAATTTAATTTTAATAAAATTTAAATAAAAAAATATTTTAATAAATAAAAAATTACTTTTCACAAAAAGTACAAACTCCTTGCTGTAATAAATAACCTTCGCTGCAAGTTATGCATTAAGGACTATTTTAACTTACAGCTAAGCAATTTTTTAATTAAGGACGTAAAATGCATTATTATAGAAGAATATTGTAATAATAAAGAATATTTTCGCATGTGCATACTAGTTAAGAATTAGTTAATAAACAAGAATCAAGACATTTTCCATTTATATCACAATAGTTTTTGCAGGAAGATTAACATGTTTAACAATTGTAGAGATTTCCATTTACTTGTTTACAATTTGTTTATTCAGGTTGTTAAGACAAACATTTATTATTATAAAGAAAGGGTTGAGTGGAAGTACAGCATTATGTTAATAATGGACCAGTACAGATATTGCAAGAATTATCACAAGGAGAGCAAATAAATATATTTTTGATTTAATCTAAAGTTTGATAATAACCATCAGGACATTAAGAAATGCATGCATCTTAAAAATTAATTTGTCTGTCAGTATAACTTAACTAGCAATTAATCATCTCAAATTACAAAGTCTGGATTTTGAGTTTTTAATTAAGCTGTTAACAGTTTTGAAATTATCTTACAGTTTAATTAAAAGATATAACATAATTTAAAGTACCATTATCAGTTTAAATTCCCGATATTCCATAGAAGGCATTATCGAGATCAACATCAAGTGTAATATTTTAGTAATTCCAACAAATGTATTAAGTGCCATTTATAGTCAAGCTGAAAGTATTAGCAGGAATTATCTGAATTGATACATAATAAGTATTAAGTTAAGAAAATATTCTATAATACTGATCTGATTTAGGTTGATATTATTGACTAGGATAATAAATATAATTTAAGTCAAGTTATAGAGGTAATCTATCAGCAAGAAATGTAAAGAGAAATGAATTACTTTAATTTTATGCAGCCAATGTGTTTATGTAAAATTTTAAACTGTTATTTTAAGATATTCCTGTTATGTATGAATGCGCAATCATACCTTCAGTAGAATTAGAAAGTTAATCTAAATAACCATTTTAGCTTAGTTTAAATTAATTTTTTTGTATTTAAATTTACCTTTATTTAACATTTTCCAAGCATATTTCAGCAAATTTAACACAAACACTACCCAAGCCTTTGTTATTTAATATTATTTTTTAGTCGTTTGTTTCTTGGATTGTAATATTGAAAAAAGGCTGATAATAGTAAGACTAGTAGCTGCTAAGTAGATAACTTTTTTAATATGGACAGTCAATTATTTTCTGGTTGAGAACAGTGCTTGTATTAGAACCTATGCAAGAGTCTTGAATTGTTACATTATTATTCCATATGCTAGTGTATTTCTATGCAAGACTCAGAGATAATAATTTAAGGTTTAATACAATTTATATTATAAAAGCTAAAGAACTTTATGATTAAATTCTCATTTTATATTCTATTTTAAATTAAATTCTTTATGATTAACTAATTATTATGTGATTTTAATTTATTATATAAAAGAATATTAACAAAATTGATTTATGTAAAACAAAACATTAAAATCTGATAGATTTTATTTATCTATTTTACACTTTTAAGAGATTATCAAGTTCTTAGTACTCAATAAAATCGAGATTAATTAAGTGAATTGTAATCTAATTCATTTAATTATTTATTTGGTTTACATTTACAAAAATAATTTACATAAAATAAAACCTAAATTTTTACCATCTATTGATTTTCCTTAATTAAATGTCAAACTCACTTAATCAACAGACTAACCTCAATATTTTTTACATTACAAATTTACATTATTTAATAAAAAAATAATAATAGATAATTTTTTCAAATTTATATTTAATTGAAATCAATAAATCTAGGTCTGAAAATTTATTTGTGATTTAATCTTAAAAAAATATATTGAATTTTTATTAGTAAATTAATCATGAGTGTCAGAAAGTAGGTAAATATTAGTTTAAATAATTCATATTTTAAATATAATCATAAAGTTTATACTGTGAATCCTAAATATAAAGCAAAAGTAAAAATTAAACTTATTTTTTAAAATCAATTATTCTTTAAGCTGACTAAATTTATTGATAATATAATTTTTGGTATGATTAAATAAGAATGCTTACATTATATTTAATGAAAATAAAATTGCATATTCTTCCATAAATAAATAAATTGTAATTTTATTTTTTTGTTGCAATTAATTACTAAAAATATTGAAATTAGTATTTAATATTTTAATATAAAACATTAATTGAAAATAATTTAAGTAAGATTAATTGTATAAAATTTACAAAATATTTAAAAATTAATTATTATTTTAGTTTGTTTTTATTATAAATAAAATAAATTAAACTTATTTTTACTAGAATAATTAATAAATGTGGAAGGAAGGAATTACTAACTAACTAACTCATTAATCTAAAACAGACTTTGCATATTTTATTTCGTCTCTTTCAAATAAATAATTTTTTTAATTAGTCAACAATATTGATGGAAAGTTTAATTAATAATTAGGGTTGGCATTTAAAATTGAAGGAGATTTGTTTCTTGAATAGCTTGGAGTATGTGGAAAGATTGGTGGTTAATTCAAATTCAAATCATATTCTGACATTGATTTAATTCCTTAGTAATTATTTTCTTCGATTTAATCTTGATTATCGTTGCTCTCGCTTTTAATTTGATTGTAGCTTTAGATTTAAGAATTTTGAATTGAAATTTCAAGTATGTGTTTCTACTTGTTTAGATATCCTTGATTACTAGAATTGAATTGTATTTGTTCAGGATTTTATTGTGGAGATTAATATGTTTGCATAAAATCTGTGTCTTTATTTTTTTACTTTTCTTTATCATCTGATCCTGGAAAACTTTCTTTACTTTTCATATTAGGGTCAGCCTCTACTTTTAAATGAAATTAATAACACACAAAACGTGTATAATCATAAATCCTCACTAATATGTCATTTATATCAGATTTTTATGGAGTACCTTCGAGAATTATTACACCATTTTTAAATTCATAACTCATCCAACTAGGTAGAGAAATATATTTAGAAATCGGCATACTTTTATATTGCAAATTAAATAATCTCCTCAAGCTTAAGCAAACTCCTTCTTAAACTTTTTCAAAAGCTTCAACTGAAATAATTTTGCTTTTTTCCAAATGAATAGATTCTCCACAGCATTTCACTATATTTTTTGCACTAACAAAATCTAATCCAAGCGCATCAGCAAACAAAACTATAATTAAAAAAATAAATATGATTCAAACTAATATAAAGAATTTTATTCTTTCCTTTTAAAAAATAAACCCAAATTAGCTTTTGACATTCCAAAAATCCACAAAAAAACATTAAATTTTCAAAAAATCTTTCTAAAACAAAAAATTCTTTTCTTGTTAAAATTATTTTATTAATTTTAAACTAAATTTCATGATTTGCTAATTTGATTTATTTATTTTATTTTTAAAAATGTAAAAATGTTGATTTTAATTAATTTGTCAAAAAAATATTCAAAGAAAATTATGATGAATTTATTAATTACCTTCCATAAGCAGATTGGAGTTGATACCGATTTACTATAGATAATTGAGTTTTTAGTTGTTTGGGTCTATTTAAGGGATTAATTCTAAATCTTTGAGTACTTTAAATATTTCATCGATTTTGAGATTTGTTTTGGAAAAGGGAGTGGGAATACCGTATTTATCTGTTTGGTTTGTAGCAATTATTGAAACATATTATCTATACCAATCTATATTAGCATAATTTCCTTTTTTTATTGAGTAATCTTTTAGTTATTAATAAAAATTAAACGTTTTCTTTTCGTTTTATAGTAAATATCTTAGCACACTAGCTTTTAGGCAACGATAAAATCTTGATTTTTCATCTTACAAATCTACTACGTAATCTACTATTTTATACTCTAATAGGTCGTATTGAACAGTTAATTTATTTTCTATCATTTAATTAAATAATTATCCCATTTAAAATGTTCCATCTTCTGCTTATATCTAAAAATATGTAGTTAAACTTGCTTTGCTTTCGTAATTCTTAAAAATTCCACTTTAAATTCCTTAGCTGTTGATTGAATAATTTTTTTCTCTCTGTTTTTATTGTAAATAAAATGAGCTTCTTTGAGTAAACGCCTTTTTAAAAATAGATTACTGCTTTGAATTTCTATTCTTAAACTCATTTTATTATTCTTAAGTCTCATTTTTATTTGAGTTTTAGTTTGCATTACTATTTTGATTTTTCAAAGTATTTTAATTATCACCTTCGATTTAACTTGCTAAATTTTAACCTGCTTAATTTTCGATATATTTTTCAGTGTTTTTATTATCTTAAATTGATTGTTCTTCAATAAATTAGTTAGATTTTGGAGTTTTTAGTTAGTCTAATTCTGCTATTTCTGCATTTTTGTTTATTTCAATATTTTTTTATGAATCAGGAAATTATTTCTCATTTTTAATGTTTTGTTAGCTTATTATAGATTTTGTAGATTTATTAAAGCCTTATTGCAATTTATTCATAGAATTTAAGCTTTTATTTGCTTGCTTGATAAATTTTTCAAAAAATAAATTTGCTATTTCATAGTCTTAATCTAAAATAGATATTTTTTTTCTATAGACTTAGCCTACATAAACAACTTCTGTGGAGTACATAGTATCGCTTTTAAAATAAAGATTCATAAAGGTAGATCTTTTTCTATACAAACCCAATGCGAAAGCAATTGGACCAAGAATTTAAATTAATATACTAAATACATATGTGAATGGCATATTATTTATATTTAAGCAAAAATCTTCATAAGTAGATGTGTAGCCATTCGAAACTTCCAATCTCAAATAAACCTTTTAAAACAAATAACTAGATGGAGGACTGCCAACAAGACGAAGATTAACATTATCATATTTTATAAAAGAGTCAGACGAAATAGGTAAGTATTATCCACTGATTTTCTGTTAAAATGAATAGGTTAAAGGAATTGAATCAGGATCTACAAAAGAATCTAATTCAAATTAAATTAAGAATGATTATTAAATCGTCAAATCAGCACCTTATCTATCAACTTGATCTTAGATGTTCTTTTGATGAATAATATCTTATTTTATCTTTAAAAACTTCACTTGACTTTGAACATCAAAATCTAAATTTAAGTTATAGTTAAAGTTATCTACAATTTAAAGCTGCATTGTTTTAGATCCATTCTAAGTTATATTTTTGCTTTTACTTTAATCATAGTAAAGAATTCCGTTGCTTAATGCTTGATTCACATACTTCAATTCACCTTCAAGCTTCAAAACAGTTAATTGATCATTAAAATACATAACTAAGTTAGGATATGATTTTTAGATAAATTTGTATGCTGAGTTATCTTGAAATATAAAGCTGACTGATAGTTGATTTTGAACTGCTTATATCATTGATTAAGTTTAACTTTGATTAAATTGCAGAGAACTAACAACATCGAATACAAATTAATTATATACTTTAGTCCTTTTAAATGTTTCAGTAACATATAATTAAATAGTTGCAAGTCTTATTGGATCGATATTAGTTCCTGAAAATGCTTGAGACAGATCTAAATATTGCTAACTTGTTGAGTCAAAAAAATTAGTTGCACAATTCGTGCCATCAATATAGCCACTTTACTTTAAATTTTTAAATATAATCTAGCTTTCATCTGGAGTTGTAATTAAGTCTGAATTTTGGTAGATGAAAGAGGTGCTGCTTAACTAAAAGCATGTTTCAATCACAATTATCAAGAAACTTTTGGTACCATTTTATGAGTCTAAGCACTCTTTTGGAATATTCAATTGAATTTAAGCTTGCAAATTAGTATTGCTTTGATTTGATCTATTAACAACTATCCAAGAAGGTAAATCTTGCAAAACTAGATCTTGATAATAGTAAATTTAGCTAATTATCTAATTAGGTTTTCTGTAAAGCAAAACAAATTTAACAAGATATTAAAGTCCAACCTAAAATGGATCACTATCAGAAATCAAACTATACAATTATGTATCAATAGATTAAACTTATCTCTCAACATGGATTAAAACCTAGCTTTAAAGATTGAAAAGACGCAATCCTTTTTCATTTGTTGAGTACAAAAATTAAAGTCCAGATTTATCTTATTATAAAATTAAAAATTACTATTAAAAATATACAAAATTTATAAATCTTTAAAGATCTAATCAAAAATTTAAGAAAAAACTATTAAACAGGGACTAGCAAAATGCCGAAATTTGTAAAAATATTTCATTTTTAATAGGAAATTTGCCTGAAAAAATAATTTTTGTTTAAGAGAAATAAAAAATAACCTCGCATTAATTAAAATAATATTAATAAGAAAATTAATAAATTAATTTCTTTTACCTATACAAGTAGTTAAAGAGTCTTATTATTGTATTGTAGATTTCATTATAATTTTTAAATCAGATTTGTTGTTTAAGTCTATAAGTGTCAAAGTACCTGTGTCCATAGTAGAAATAATTCCATATTTTTCATCAACAGTGAATGAAATAAAATTTGTCCAGCCGGAAGAAACAAATTTTCCTAAGACAACTATATCTGGTAATTTAGTAGAGTCCAACAAGACTAAACCATTAAAACCGTCTATCAAATATATAATTTTATCAGTTTTAGAACGTATTAAAGTTTCTCCGCCATTTGTCCTCCACTAATTAACCATATTTGGATTTTTCATATCTGAAGTATCATATATAAATAAGCCAACATTTCTAACAACTGCTAAAGCATGTTTTTTATCATGTGATAAAACGGCACCACAACATGTTCCAATTACTCCCTAATTTGTGTACATGGAAATAACCTCAAAATTGACCATATCAACTAAAGCTATTCCTACATCAAATGACATCACTGCATGCTATTCATCTTCACTTATATTAAATTATTCACTATAATAAACTTAATCATACTTCAATCCTTTAACATATTGGAAAGAATACTATCCATCAGGAGAAATATTGACCTAAAATTTATACGCTACAACATTTTTATCGCTCTGTTGGGAAGTAAAATAAATGTGTTTTTCACCTTTAGTAAATTAAATATTTTCAATTTAAAATCCTAATGGGATCGGTTCATCAGGTCCAAATTATCTAAATGTGTTTGTACTGATAATTTATTCCTATTATTCATTGAATTAATATACAAGCTACATTTTAGAAGGGATAGTTTATGTGTAGGAATTAACTTCAATTTTAAAAATGCACAAACCATCAGCGTCAAAAGCTCCAAGTAAGTATTAACTATTTTAAGAGATAGTGCATCTCCATTTAGAAATTGCCTTGCCTTCCTAAAATAGCTAAGATTACTATAAATTAAACAAATTTGGTATATTATTATAAAGAGAAGGCTTTTATTTCTAGAACACAGCAACTGATAGAGAATTCAAATAATAAATATATTAATTATCAAAAGTTGCGTTTGGAATTACATTCTATTTCGGAGACAACGCCAAAGAAAAAGACTACCCAGATAATTAAAGTTGCTAAAAAAACTAAGGATTCAAAGGATCATTAATATTATAAATTAGAATTCCTAAAGATCTGACACCAACATATAAAAATTAATCATCAAGACTCTTAGCTAAAGATGAAGTGTACCCAATCTTACTTCCTAAATTAAACTGTACCAATTGAATTTTTTCTAATTTTATAAAAAAACAAGTAAATGTAAATTATTCAATTTTCACCACTAATTAATATCAAATATCTTAAAATTTAAGTTTTTCTATCTAACCAGATTATTTTTGCATTTACTTACTTGAAACAAATCAAAAAGGAAATTTTAATTTAATATAAAATTGAGCAGTAAGAAAAAAAGGTATTTTTGAGCATACAAAAAAAGTGTATTTCTGAGCATACAAAAAAAGGGTATTTCTTAGCATTGTAAAAAAAACTAAAGTAGCTATTTCATTTATTAAAATTACTTTGATTGTATTTTTGAAATTAAATCCACTCATTTAATATATATTAAGAGTAATAAGTAAGAATAAATCAAAGAACAAACAGCAGTTCATTTGCTTAAAATTATTCACTCACTTTTTAATAAGTAAACTTTAAACTGTAAATTTTGTAAGTAAAAAAATAAAACAAAATGAATTTTTAGTTTCCAAATTAGATATTTTGAAAGAAAATAAATGTTGATGTTTTTTTATATAAAATAAATTTACAATTGTTATTTTATTCTGCATCGTCTCCAATAAGTTACAACTAACTCAAATCATAAAGGATATATATGCCATTCCATCTGTCAATAACGAATACATAGTTATTTTTACTAGTAACGACTAGCTCTGTAAAGCTTGTGACTGCTAACTTTGTTAAAATCTTAACCAGATTTACTTAAAGTTGATTGTTTTACGTTTATCTGTCTATCCTAAAAGCAAGTAACCCTTCAAAATCAGCATTTATGTAAAAAATTCTGTCATCGGGTGAAATGACACCTCTTACGAAGAGAATTTGGTTAGCAGAGTAGTCAATTTAACCTAAATTGACTATGTTTTTTAGGTTTCTGACATCAAACCATTGAAGAACTCCTAAATATCCTAGAACAAACATAATATCTTCTTCTAGATTAAATTAAATGTCTACAATAGTTTAACCTTAAGTGTTAATGGAGCTAATCATCTTCATGCTGAAATCGCTTTAGCTTAATTAAAAGATGCCGACCTAGTTGATCATTCCTAGAATGACATACGATCCATCTTTTGTAATTTAAACAGTCTAAATGTAGCTATTATCAGGCGATTAGTGTATATATTTATTAAATTTATTATCAATGATCATTATTCCAGCATTACCTAAAGCAGCTATGGCTGTTCCAGACTATTATGCTATTTTAATTCTATTAGAAGTTCCATTGATAGCTTAAACATCAAAAGAATAACTTGGGATTGAATTATATACAAATCCAATAGAGCTTTAGGCAAAAACAGCTTCAATAATATAAACTAAAAAAAAAAGATAAATGTGTAAATTAACTTTCATTTAATTGTATATTAAGTGCTTTTTAATTAATAATTTTTTGATAAAAATAAATAGCTTTTGTAAAAAGAATTTGATATTTATTTGATACCAAATTATATAATTCAGAAGAAACTGCTTCATAAGTAACTCATTACTTTTGTTCATACATACATATCTAAATAATTAGGGATTACTCTCAATTTTTGTATTTATTACTTAAAAAAAGCCATCAATATTTTTCTCCTAATAAAAAACGTCATTTTTTATCTTTTAAACTAAAATATTTGCCTTAATTTTCCAAAATTAATTTCAATTTTTTATTATTGCAAAAATTATTATGACCATTTTATAAAAAGGTGAAATTAGATAATGTTATTAAGAAAAACTAATTAAGTTCCTTTATAAACAGATTGATCTAAAATAGATACTATTTCATTAACTCACTCATTTATTAATTTGGGGTACTTATTAAATAATTTCAAATGTGTAATTTGACAAAAAGGCGAAATCAGATAAATCAATAAAGCAAACTAATTAAATTCCTTTAGAGATACAAAAAAATTCTACTTCTTTCTTTCATTTATTCTATTCAGATTTGAATTATAAATTTTGTTATAAAATTAAATTGATACAATTAAGCAGTACAAGATTGATAAATTTATTAGGGATTGAATTATTAACGAATCTATTTTAGTTTTAGCCAATAATAGCTTTAATAATATATATATAATTAAATTGTAATTTCATTTTCGTTTAGGTATATTTTAAGAGTGTTTTGATTAATTAGAATAAATTTGTAAAAAGAGTTTGATTTTTTTTTGATAATAATTTACAGAATTCAAAATAAATTTCTTTTTAAATAGCTCATTATTTTGTTTTTTTCATTCCTGTCCAAATAAATTATGAATAGTTATTTACTCTCTATTATTATATGCATTATAACAATATTTTTTTTCTTAAAGTAAAAAAGTATCTTTTATTTAATAAAGAAGTAAATTATCTAATTTCCTAAATTAATTTTAGTTTTCATATTTTTTGATATTACATTAATTGTTGTAACCTATTTATAAAAAAGCGAAATTAGATAAAGTTAAAAACGAAAATTAATAAAAATCTTGTTTTGATTAACATATTAAGCAAATTTTCTATTCCAATTTATTTTTTTTGTAAATTTAATCAAACTAATTCAAAAACTTATGGATATTTTATGACTTTTAATTACAAACTATTTGTTACTTTTTAATTAAGAGCAAGATACCAAGTGGTTGGTTTCTATTTTAGTTTCATAAAATTGTTTGAAAAAACTCTCTCATGTAAATAAAATAAATAAATAATTTTCCTCTTCAAGTAAATTTTACCATCCATTTTACTGTAAATTTAATTGCTCTGATTATGCCTTAAAATAACGTTTACATAGAAAATTTCACTTTTAGTAAAGGCAGAAGATAGATTCACCTTAAAAGGCAAAAAAAAAATAATAATAACACATACAAATCGAAAATAATCCAACTAATTAATTTTTTGGAAATTTTTATAGGCTCAAGAAAATTATTAGTTAACCTTTGATTAATAATAAATATTTCCTTTATTCTGTTAAGCTAATCGACTAAATCTGTTTTCATAAATAAATATACTATTTAATATTGATGGTATTTTAAATTTATTTGCTTTATTTATTTTTGGAATTTTATTTTAGATGTGATTATTTTATTATTTAGTTTGTATCTATTAAATAAACGAAATGTCAATGAAAAGGATAAAAGAAAATTATTGCTTTTTCACATCTAAAAATTTAATTTACAGATTAATATCCATCTGAATTTAAAAGTTAATTAAGAATTCATAAGCTAAATCGAACTTATTTCTGAGAAACAAATTACCAAGTTTTAAGATCATTTTCATAAAAATTTTTTTCCTCTTGATGGTTTTCATAATTAATTGGATCAATATTAAATATAAATTTTAATTTATCATAAAGTATTGTAAATTTATCATAAGAAAATATTTAGATTTAATTATCATTTGATCTCATTAAAATAACAAAAATTATACGAATCCATTTTCATTTACCCAATTTTTTTTTAATTAAATAAACTAATTTCGAATAATGTGACTTTAAAATAAATAAAAAACGCTTTTTATTAGAATTAGTTAAATTTTTACTTTTTCTTTTTAAATTTTTAAAAATCTTCTTTTTGCTTCTTGACTGACTGTCAATCTCTCTATAAAAGCTTTGTTTATCATGATTTCAATTTTCTTCTAGAGTTAGTAATAGAAATTTCTATTTCTTCAGATTCTGAAAATCTTCTTTAGAGTATGCAAAAGAGTTAAAAACATAACCACTATTAAGCTTTTTATTAAAAGTATTTTTAGATATCCTTTTCTAAACTCTTAGACTATTCTTAACTCTTATTTCTATGACTGTCTTTTTTTTTTTTTACTTATTTAGGCCTAAACTTAAATTTTATTATTCTCCTTCTTCGAAATCCTCTCTTTCTTCTTCTGCTTCCATTGCATTTTCATTTTTTTTGAGTTATTTCTACTTTTTTAATAAAATTTATATGAAATGATATAAAAAAAAGTAATATTTTAAATCAATAAATTTCATAATAATGCTTGACACTATTTTAAGCAAATTATATACATGTAGATTGATCATACTCAATATATTATAAGTCCTACTATTTAATAGTAATACTATTGGTATTAGTTGTTTATTCTTAGCTAATAAAAATTTTATTTAATTTTATGTTAATTATAGGTGGTATATTAAGATATTTAGTAATTTACATTATCTATCTTTTCTTATATTATTGAATTTCCAAAAATTTATAAAAATACTTTAACTTATTAAAAAAAATTTATGAAGACAAATTAGATCAAAAAAATTAAAATAAACCTAATAGCTAGTTTATTTTACACTCATTTTACTAAACAAATAAAATATAAAATACATACTCTTGATATTATTTTATTAATTCATTGCATTTATTGTTCATAATTATTATTTGATTATCTATATTTAAATTTATAGACAAATTTATCTATTATTTTTAAATCATTTATTAGTTTCATTTGATTTTGAATTTCATCCTTACTTTAATTTTCAAAATTACTCAACTATTAATGCTTCCTTTAAGATGCATTTACTTTAGTGACTTAATAAATTAAAATATAAACATAGATCTTTTTAAGATAGATTTTATTTAAAAAAATCTGAAATTTCAACTATATAGGAATAATCTGGGTAACTTAATACCTCTAGTTACTATCCTTCTAGCCAAACTCTCAACTCTAAAATACTATTTTCATCTAGCAATTATGTCTTATCTCCTTTTACAAATTTATCAATTCCATAGCCTCCTAAGTATTTCATCATATTATTTTCTAATCTAAAATAGTAGCTCATTTTATCATTAAATCCATAATAGTTATTGAAATTTTCATTTTTCATAATTCCTATCATAAAATTACTATCAAGTTCCTTTTGAAATTAAATCCTAAATATGTATTTTTTATCTCTTTCCAATATCTAAGAAATGCAATTAGTAGAATAATTTTTATAACTACCTTCGTAGTAATTTTCATTTATAGTTATTTCAAATTAGTTATTCATATTTTTAACTATTTCTACTCGCTAGTTTCCATCTCTAAAATTGCTTTTCTAAAATTATAGTTCATTCAAGATATTCTTCCCTTTTAACTATAATAAATCAAAGATAGGAAATTATTTTAAGGTATTTTCCAATTCAGGTTTTTCAAAAATAAATTAATCTATTATTTTTTATTGAACTCTGTATGTTTAACTATTATCAAAGTTTTATTGGTTTTCATTTAGATTTTATTTCTTTTTTACTATTTTAACAAACTCTTTTATATCATTTGTTTCTAGACTCCTCAAAATGTTAAAGCTTTATTCTTCAGAGAACATTTGATCTGTGTTTATATTTTTTGAAAAAGGATATGTTTCAATTAAGTATTTTATAAAGTTATCTCGATAATCATTTGAGATAAAATTGAATTTGTTATCAAGAACATTAAGTAGATTCGATATTTAAAATGAATTCTTAACTGATTAGAGGTGTTAAGAATCATCTTATATTTTGATCAAATGCTCAACATATTCATTTACACTGTTTATTTTTTCATCATTTAATTCTGAAAATCGGATTGCTTTTTTACCTTCTTGATACATTTTGTCAAATGAAATTTATTCAAAAAAGAATTTTAGATTTTACATTTATTGTCTAATTTAATACAAAAACTCTTCACTGCAATAATTGGTTTTGTTAGAAATTAATTTCATTAATTAATCTATTTTACTATTATCTTGTTATGGTAATCTATTTTTATTTAAGTGATTATCAGATATAACTTGACTTTATGTTTAATCTTCAAAAAAGTTAAGCTAATCTAAAAAATCTAATAAAAATATTTTACTTTTGTTTAATCTGTCAAAATCGATTAGCTGTTGAATTTTGTCGCATTGATTGAGTAACTCTTAAAGCAGCTGTGTATTTTTGCCTTTATTTAACTCTACTTGCTGAATGAATTCTTTACACGATTTTTGGTAGAGCGCAAAAGACTTATTCTAGTCTTACATGAGCAGTGATTTTAAGTTTTGAATTTAAGATATTTCTTGATACCTTTTCAAAATTTAGTCTTTGCTAAAAGGCATTTCAAGAGCTTGATTGATTGCTCTTTTCTAAGAGACATCAATTTTTTTAATGATTTCATCTTTTAGTTAAGTGAAATAAGAATTGATTTAATTGATTACGCTTTATGTTGAATTGAGATTCTTAGTCTTCAGATCAATATTCTGAATGATCTACTAATCATTGAGAGGTGGCCACTTATAATGAAAGTCAGATTCTGAATTTTCAATAATTTTTTAGATGAGCATGTAATTGGCACCTCTAAATTGTAAATCTTATTCGAAGCAATCAATACATTAGAATATGTTAGAGTTAGGAAGGGATGAAATTTCATTAACTTAGATAAAGGCAAATTTATTTTGAGGATGAAAGATACAATTTTATTGAATAGGAATACTATTTTGAGCTAATTAATCCATTTTATTTGATTGTTGAAAATGTATGTTTAGATATATTATTTATTATAAAACTTAAAATCTTAAATTTTTGAGATATTTTAGACTTATTAAATTAAAATAAGAAGGTTGAAATTTTATCTTAGAAAGCAAAAAAGAAATAATTATATAAACAAGTAAAAATAAATAAAGGTAATAGAATATTTAATGTTAATTTCTAAATAAGAACTAATATTTTAATAAAAAATATTTGAAATTTAAATTAGATTTTAATTAGAAAATATTTTATGTAATTAATATTTTTATTTAAATATGTAAGTAAAAAAAGAAAAAAATTCAAAAATGAATAGAAAAAAGGCATCAATCAATTAATTGCTAAAAAAATTTTTTCAAAATTTAATAAAAACAGGTACATAAAAAAATTAAAAAACAGAAAGTGTAAAATGAGCTTAAAATCAGAAAAATTAAATGAAATATCACCTTCTGTACCTGAAAACACAGTTGGTGATATTTTAATTACAGAGTTAGCAATCCATAATAGTATGCCTGCAGAAATTCAATAAAATTTAATGTTAGGTATTCATTCAGTCTTCATGCTTTTTTAGTTTTTTATTTATCAAATTTATAAGATATACATGTAATGATATTTAAAGTAGATAAGTGCAATTTAATTTTTGATTCAAAACTTATTTATTTACTTTGAATTCATAGATTTTAATTAATATGCTCGAATTAAGGGAAAAAAGAAAGAAATTCAAGTTTTTTTCATTCAATAATAATTAAACTTAGTAAATTTTATTTTAACTAGAATGATTTAAAAAATATCCCAAAACTTGAGAAAAAGCCTTATATTTTATCAAAAGTTTGTTAAAATTCAATAAAATAGTATGATAAATAGAATTAAAATATGGAATTAGCAAAACCAATTTAAAAGCATAAAATTTAAATTTAATATTTCAGATTGAAAAATAATATTGGAGATATTTTAATTACAGGATTAGCTTTTAATAAGAAAAAAAAAAAAAATTTATCCTTTAAAGTAATAGGTTTGTTGCTGAGCATATTAGAGGAAAAAATATCAAGCTAAAAAGATCCATAAATTATCAGCTTAAAGTTCATACTTAAGAGATTGATTAAAAGTAGTATCTTATGAATTCAGAGTTGAATATTAATGAAAAAACTACTCATCTTACAAATTTATCATAGTAATTACTTTAGAATTTAAGAAGAGAAATTTAATATCAACAATTAAGAGTTCATGCATTTACAATACAATTATTTCTTTAAAATAAGTAATTTTTGAAATAAGAGGTTAAAAAATTTTTATAATCATTTTTAAGTTGACAGAAATTCAATAAATTAATTCTAATAAAATTCCAAACTTAATCTTTTTAATAATTCATAAATTAAATAACTAATATTCAGAATTTTATCTAATTTATATTAATTATAAGTGGTTTATTAAGGTATTTAGTTACTTACTTATCTATCTTTTCTAATATTATTTAATTATCATTTTTATAAAAATACTTTAACATATTTAAAAAAATTTATGGAGAATAATAAGATCAAAAAATTAAAACAAACCTAATAGCTAATTTCTTTTTAACTCATTTTACTGAACCAATAAAATATAAAATACATGCTATGACTATTATTTTATTTTTACTTCATTGTATTTATTATTAATAATGATTATTTGATCATCTATATTTAAATTTATTAATAAATTCATTTTATTTTTAAATCATTCATTCATTTATTTATTTGATTTTGTATTTCATCCTTACTTTAATTTTCAAAATTACTCAACTATTAATGCTTCTTTTAAGATACATTTATGTTAGTGACTATTTAAACTGAAATATAAACATAGATCTTTTTAAGATAGATTTTATTTATATTCATCTTAGATTTCAACTTTATAGGAATAATCTGGGTAATTTAATACCTCAACTTACTATCCTTCTAGCCAAACTCTCAACTCTAAAATACTATTTTCATCTAGCAATTATGTCTTATCTCCTTTTACAAATTTATCTATTCCATAACCTCCTAAGTATTTCATCTTATTATTTACTAATCTAAAATAGTAGCTCATTTTATCTTGAAATCCATATTTGCTGTTGAAATTAACATTTTTCATAATTCCTATATTAAAATCACAATTCTCTCCCTTTTGAAATTAAATCCTAAATATGTATTTTTTATCTCTTTCCAATATCTAAGAAATGCAATTAGTAGAACAATTTCCATTCCTCCCTTAGTAGTTAGTTTCATTTATAGAAATTTCGAATTAGTTATTGATATTTTTAACTATTTCTATTCGCTAGTTTCCATCTCTAAAATTGCTTTTCTAAAATTATAGTTAATTCAAGATATTCTTCCCTTTTAACTATAATAAATCAAAGATAGGAAATTGTTTTAAGGTATTTTCCAATTCTCGTTTTTCAAAAATAAATGATTCTAGTATTTTTTATTGAACTCTGTACGTTTAACTATTTTCAAAGTTTTATTCGTTTTCATTTAGATTTTATTTCTTTTTTACTATTTTAACAAATTTATTTATATAATTTGTTTCTAAACTTCTCAAAATATTAAAGCTTTATTCTTCAGAGAACATTTCGTCTGTGTTTATATTTTTTGAAAATGGATATGTTTCAACTAAATATCTCATCAAGTTATCTCTATAGTTATTTGATACAAAATTGAATTTATTATCAAGAACATTTAGTAGATTCGATATTTAAAATGAATTTTTAACTGATTAGAGGTGTTAAGGATCATCTTATATTTTGATCAAATGCTCAACATATTCATTTACACTGTTTATTTTTTCATCATTTAATTCTGAAAATCTGATAGCTTTTTTACCTTCTTGATTCATTTTATCAAATGAAATTTATTCAAAAAAGAGACTTAGTTTTTACATTTATTATCTAATTTAATTCAAAAACTCTTCACTGCAATAATTGGTTTTGTTAGAAATTAATTTCATTAATTAATCTATTTTACTATTATCTTGTTATGGTAATCTATTATTATTTAAGTTATTATCAGATATAACTTGACTTTATGTTTAATCTTCAAAAAAGTTAAGCTAATCTAAAAAATCTAATAAAAATATTTTGCTTTTGTTTAATCTGTCAAAATCAATCAATTGCTAAATTTAGTCGCATTGATTGAGTAACTCTTAAAGCAGCTGTGTATTTTTGCCTTTATTTAACTCTACTTGCTAAATGAATTCTTTACACGATTTTTGGTAGAGCGCAAAAGATTTATTCTAGTCTTACATGAGCAGTGATTTTAAGTTTTGAATTTAAGATATTTCTTGATACCTTTTCAAAATTTACTCTTTACCAAATGGCATTTCTAGAGCTTGATTGATTGCTTTTTTCTAAGAGATATCTATTTTTTTAATGATTTCATCTTTTAGCTAAATGAAGTAAGAATTGATTTAATTGAGAACGCTTTATGTTGAATTGAGATTCTTAGCCTTCAAATGAATATTCTGAATGATCTGCTAATCATTGAGAGGTGGCCATTTATAATGAAAATCAGAATCTGAATTTTCAATAATTTTTTAGATGAGCATGTAATTGGCACCTCTAAATTGTAAATCTTATTCAAAGCAATCAACACATTAGAATATGTTAGAGTTAGGAAGGGATGAAATTTCATTAACTTAGATAAAGGCAAGTTTATTTTGAGGATGAAAGATACAATTTTATTGAATAGGAATACTATTTAGAGCTAATTAATCCATTTTATTTTATTTTTGAAAATGTATGTTTAGATATATTATTTATTATAAAACTTAATATCTTAAATTTTTGAGATTGTTTAGACTTATTAATAAAAATCAGAAGATTGAAATTTTATCATAAAAGCAAAAAAGAAATAATTATAAAAACAAGTAAAAATAAATAAAGGTAATAGAATATTTAATGTTAATTTCAAAATAAGAACTAATATTTTAATAAAAAGATATATGAATTTTAAAATTAGATTTTAATTAGAAAATTTATTTTTTGAAAACATTTTATGTAATTAATATTTTTATTTAAATATGAAAGTAAAAAAAGAAAAAAATTTAAAAATAAAAAAAAAAATAAATTTATTAAAAAATATATTTGAAAAAAAAAATATAAAAAGAAAAGTAGATCAAAAAATAAAAACAAAATGAAATTGCTAGCTGATTAGTTTTACACTCATTTTACTCAATCTATAAAATATAAATTACATATTATACCTATTATTATTTTACTTTATTGTATTTATTATTAATAATTATTATTAGATCCTCTTTATTTAATTTATAAACAAATTCATTCAACTATTATTTTTAAATCATTCATTTATATTTTTGATTTTGATTTTATTCTTCCTCCAATTTTCAAAATTACTCAACTATTAATGCTTCTTTTAAGATATATTTTAGTTAGTGCTAAAGTAAACCGAAATATAAACATAGATCTTTTTAAGATAGATTTTATTTCAAATAATCTTAGATTTCAACTTAATAGGAATAATCTGGGTAATTTAATACCTCAAGTTACTATCCTTCTAACCAAACTCTCAACTCTAAAATACTATTTTCATCTAGCAATTATGTCTTATCTCCTTTTACACATTTATCAATTCCATAATCTCCTTAGTATTTCATCTTATTATTTTCTAATTTAAAATAGTAGGTCATTTTATCTGTAAATCCATATTTGCTGTTGAAATTCTCATTTTTCATAATTCCTATATTAAAATCACAATTCTATCCCTTTTGAAATTAAATCCTAAATATGTATTTTTTATCTCTTTTCAATATCTAAGAAATGCAATTAGTTTAATAATTTTTATGACTCCCTTAGTAGTTAGTTTCATTTATAGAAATTTCAAATTAGTTATTCATATTTTTAACTATTTCTATTCGCTAGTTTCCATCATATAAATTGCTTTTCTAAAATTATAATTCATTCTAAATATTCTTCTCTTTTAACAATAATAAATCAAAGATAGGAAATTTTTTTAAGGTATTTTCCAATTCACGTTTTTCAAATCTAAATGATTTTAGTATTTTTTCTTGCACTCTGTATGTTTAACTATTTTCAAAGTTTTATTGGTTTTCATTTAGATTCTATTTCTTTTTTACTATTTTAACAAACTCTTTTATATAATCTGTTTCTAAACTCCTCAAAATATTAAAGCTTTATTCTTCAGAGAACATTTGGTCTGTGTTTATATTTTTTGAAAATGGATATGTTTCAATTAAGTATCTCATCAAGTTATCTCGATAATTATTTGAGATAAAATTGAATTTGTTATCAAGGAAATTGAGTAGATTCGATATTTAAATTGAATTCTTAACTGATTAGAGGTGTTAAGGATCATCTTATATTTTGATCAAATGCTCAACATATTCATTTACACTGTTTATTTTTTCATCATTTAATTCTGAAAATCTGATAGCTTTTTTACCTTCTTCATTCATTTTGTCAAATGAAATTTATTCAATAAAGAGACTTAGCTTTTACATTTATTGTCTAATTTCATTCAAAAACTATTGACTACAATAATTAGTTTTGTTAGAAATTAATTTCATTAATTAATCTATTTTACTATTATCTTGTTATGGTAATCTATTATTATTT